CTTTGCGAACCCATGGACTGCACTCGCCAGGCTTCACTGTCCTCCACTATGACCCGGAGTTTGCCCAAACTCATGTCCATAAAGTCGGTGATGCCATCCAACCATCTCATCCTCTGTCATCCCTTTCTCCTCCTGTCTTCAGTCTTTCCCAGTATCAGGATCTTTTCCAACGAATCAACTCTTCAGTTTATGCATGTGTGTGTGTGTGTCCGGAGAAGGCAATGACAACCCACTCCAGTACTCTTGCCTGGAAAATCCCACGGACGGAGAACATGGTAGGCTGTAGTCCATGGGGTCGCTAAGAGTCAGACACGACTGAGCGACTTCCCTTTCACTTTTCACTTTCATGCATTGGAGAAGGAAATGGCAACCCACTCAGTGTTCTTGCCTGGAGAATCCCAGGGACAGTGGAGCCTGGTGGGCTGCAGTCTACGGGGTCGTATGGAGTCGGACACGACTGAAGCGACTTAGCAGCAGCAGCAGCAGCGTGTGTGTCTGTGTGTGTCTGTGTTTGCCAGTGCACGGCAAATAGAAGGGGGAAAAGTGGAAGCAGTGACAGATACTCTTTTCTTGGGCTGCAAAATCACTGTGGGTGTTGATTGCAGCCATGAAATTAAAAGATGCTTGCTCCTTGGAAGGAAAGCTATGACAAATCTAGACAGTGGGTTAAAAAGCAGAGACATCACTTTGCCAAAAAATGTCCATATAGTCAAAGCTATGGTTTTTCCAGTAGTCATATATGGATGTGAGAGTTGGACCATAAAGAAGGCTGAAGCGAAGTGGAAGTCGCTCAGTTATGTCCAACTCTTTGCAACGTCATGAACTATATAGTCCATGGAATTCTACAGGCCAGAATACTGGAGTGGGTAGCTTTTCTCTTCTCCAGGGGATCGTCCCAACCCAGGGAGGCAACCCGGGTCTCCTGCATTGCAGCTGATCCTTTACCAGCTGAGCCACAAGGGAAGCAAAGAAGGCTGAGTGCCAATGAATTGATGCTTTTGAATTGTGCTGGAAAAGACTCTTCAGAGTCTCTTGAATACCAAGGAGATCACACCAGTCAATCCTAAAGGAAATCAACCCTGAATATTCATTGGAGGGACTGATGCTCAAGCAGAAGCGCTAATACTTTGGCCACAAGATGAAAAGACCCTGATGCTGGGAAAGAGTGAAGGCAGGAGGAGAAGGAGTGACAGAGGATAAGATGGTTGGATGGCATCACTGACTCAATGGACATGAATCTGAGCAAATTCTGGGAGATAGTGGAGGACAGAGAAGCCTGGCGTGCTGCAGTCTGCAAGGTCACAAAGAGTCAGACATGACTTAGTGACCAAACAATAACAACTGTGTGTGTGTGTGTGTGTGTGTGTGCTGTCCCTTCTGTAGTGGGGCACTCCGAGATTACTGTGAGACCCTGTATGGTGCCCAGCATGATGTGTGGTACTTGGCACGTTTGCAGTTCACCGTAGTCTTTCCTAGACAAGCACTCGATCATTTGGAGTCCAGGAAGATTCTGGAAAGGTTCTGTCTTCTTAACTAGTGAGGTGTGCTGAGAGGAGTGTTTGTTTGCAGCCTCAGTCTCCTCATCTGTAAAATGGGAGTAAAGGCTCTCAGGGATATCAGGGCTTCATGGAGTAGCTGTAGGTTGCGTTTGATAGCATGCCATTTACAGCCTCTCTAATGGGTGGGAGGTTGTGTGCATACATACATGTCTTGTGTGTCTGTGTATGTCTCATGAGGAAGGAGTGAGAAGGTTTTGATTCACCTGTTGCAAAGTCAATACTTCTACTTTTCCACTGACTTAGCCATCCTCCTTTAAATCATTAATGACGTCTGTAAAAAATAATACTGCAGTGGGTTGCCATTTCCTTCTCCAGGGTATCTTCCCAACCCAGGGATCAAACCCATGTCTCCTGCACTGGCGGGTGGCTTCTTTACCACTCAGCCACCAGGGAAGCCCCTGTTTTACATATTGAGATATATATATATATATATATATATATATATATATATATATCCAGAAGCACAGAGCCTGGCACATAGTAAGTATTTAATAAATGCTCTTTCCTTTCTTCTTGCCGTCTTATTTAAAAAAAAGTTCCCAGAACTTCCTTGGGCACTAGTATAGATTACTGACTGTTTCATTCCTTTGAAATCCACAATTTCTTTAGATGTTCTGGGACAATGGTGTTTATCATCTTTGCCTGGAAACGCGTCTCCCTAAACGGCAATAGCTGTCCTTCTTATTTTCCAGAGCTAGAGGAAACCATCCTCTGCAGAGAGAAGCGAAGCCCCCACCCCCACGCCATCTGCACGGTTCCAGTCCGCCAGGGCACTCGTCCCTGGGGAGCGAGCGGGGACGTTCCTTGTGGCCTCCGGGAGGGCTGGTCTCGCCCGGGGGCAGGGCCTGGCCTGCAGTCGGCGCTTGGGAAGTCCCCGCCCACGGGGCGTTAACCGTCTTCAGTGGTCACTCCTGCACCCTTGATTTGCCCTCATCCTCGCAGCAACGCTGCGGATTTCCCTGGTGGCTCAGACGGTAAAGCGTCTGCTTTCAAATGCGGTAGACCCAGGCTCGATCCCTGAGTCCGGAAAATCCCCTGAAGAAGGAAATGGCAACCCACTCCAGTACTCTTGCCTGGAAATTCCCATGGATGGAGGAGAGTGGTAGGCTACAGTCCATGGGGTTGCATGGACACGACCGAGCAACTTCACTTTCACAGGGTTGAAGGGCGGACCTGAATTCAGACTCGCCTCTGTCTGGATGTCTTCTGCCCTCGCCTTTCGTTCTGTGGAAAACCTCATTACGTCGCAGGTCTTCCTGAAACCCAGTGAGTTTGACCAAACAGCAACAGTTCAATAAACAGAAGAGCTCGCTAGTTGCCCCCAGGGGCCTTGATGTCCCCGCAGGAGTTTCCAGGCACGGCTGGTGGGTACAGAGCCCCCGTGGGCTTCCTCAAGGGGCGCCTCTGCTGCGCACAGACGTGAATAATCTTCATTATGAACACCCACCTCTGTGCTCAAGGTGGCTCATGCGTGGGAGTGTGCAGCCAAGGGCTTCTCTTCCTAAAAATCTGTGTCCCTCGTGCCCAGCACAGCGGGGACCCAGCCCGGGTGCGCAGGGCTGAGCCGATGAAAGGACGCCTTCAGCAGAGGTGGTTTGTGGGGTCACCTGCCCGCCCTGGGCTATTTTCCGCTAAAGACAGCCGACGGACGTTTCTGGGATGTTAAGTGGGACAAGGAAACAAGGAGAACGCACAAGCCATCCCCTGGTCCACCTCTTGTCTTTGTATCATGTCTTATGCTTCCATGCCCCAGTCCAAGTGTTACTAAGGAGTGGCCAGCCAGGACCGCCGGCAGGGCCCCTGGTCAGCCCGCGGCTCCTGCCTTGCTCGTCAGGCAGGCAACACGCGGGTACCGCGAGGGGCCCACTCACATGGACAGCTGCTCCACCCCAAGGCAATTAGAGTCCGAAGGATGCCTGTCTCTCTAGAAAGTCATGACCTAAGGGTCATGGTTTTGTCTCCACGTTATTTTTGCTCAGGTTATTTTTTTTTTTTATGGCAAGACTCAGTATAAGATTTTTCTAATTGCAATCCTTATAATGATCCAGGTTTATTTCATTAAGGCAAATCATAATGATAATAACAATAATAATAAACCACCATTTTCAACTTTCAAACTAATATCCCTACACAGAGACCTTTGGGATCTAAGCCATTTCCCTACATTATTCCCTGACATTGTACATATGCTTTTCAGGGATGATCAAAAATAGAAAATTATTTGAAAGGCTTTACCACCAGTGCAAATTAGAGATTTGTACGATACTGTAAAACGTATATGCCTCCATCCATCCCATAATGGGACTGTAAACACTTGCTACATACAGTGGGCAGGGATTTTATAGTCTGTCATTTTGTATTTTCTACATAGATGCTGTAGAAAAATTAAAATATTAATAAACCACATATGTGCTTGCGAAAGCATTAGCTTTAGATTTGAACGTTTAACCTCGCTTTAACTCACCTCTGCTTCTCATCCCTGCATAATGATTGTTAAACGCCAGACACGAGTACACGTCCTGTGCTGTGCTATGTTTCGGCAGTAGGTGGAAATTTTAGCATGATGTTTTATATTTCATCCTAAAATTTTTTTATTTGCAAGTGTATGAAGTCACATTGGCTATGTTTGACAATCCATTTTTGGCATGTATTTTCATATAAATTATAGGGTGTTTTTGCCTCTCGGCTCTCACAACATAGTAAGGAGAAAGCCCCAGGCTGTGGAAATATGACTGAGGCCGCGTTAGCATGTGGGTTGGAAATAATAAGGATTATAAATGACTCGGTAGGTAGAGAAAACAAGGGGAGAAGACTTATTGGGGAGAAGTAAAACAGCTTGCTCTGTTTATGCGCAGCTGAAAGAAGGCTCCCTGAAAGATATATCACTAGTCACCTTCTTTTTATTTCTGAGGGGCTTTTATTAACCCCTTTTTATCAATCAAAATAAATTGATTGCCAGTGGATGCCATCTTTTCTGACTGTTTGAAATTATAAAACAAAAGCAAAGGCACACAAACTCACATACTGCATCTTTTGGTAAAGAAGAGACAAATCCCTCCAAAGGGATTGCTAAATAGTGTTAAAGATTTTTATCGCTGTCCTTAAAACAGAACATCTCATTTAGGGATCAGAGTAGGCCTTGGGAGTCTTCTAAACTCGGCTTCCCTATCTGTGTCAGTGGACAGGAATTCCAGAACACTGTTATTTAATATTTATGTCCTGTCATAAAAGGACATGTTTCTGTAGGGTAAATACAGTTATGCCCACTAATAACTCAGTGCTGGGTAAGACCTGATTCAAGGGGAGAAAAAAAGCAGGGCAGCCAGGAATCCCTGTGACGCGCATCTGGTCATTTCTAGCCGTGACGCCGCCACAGAGGATGTGCGGAAACTGGAAAACCAGCTTCTCACCAGGTGGGCAGGAGCCCCCTCCTGTCCTCACCCATTGGAAAGGCCTGAGAGTTTGGGGCAGTGGGCATAAGACACAGCAGTGCAGGAGGAGGGGTTTCAGGGGTGCAGGGGCTGGGGGCGTGGGGTAGCAGGCCGCGGCCGCAGACCTCCCCAAGGCCCCAGGAGCTTTGCCTCATCCTTCTCAGCCCTGGGGCCGCTGCGGCCTGGCCTCTGAGGGGCTCGGCGCCTGGCAGAGCCAGGGCTGGGGGTCGTGTTTGCTTCCTCCCTCAGGCCCACACCGTACAGGGCTGCCCGCTGGGAGGCCCTGACTTCTCTTATCTTAGGAAGGAGACCATCCCCGTCACGTATCTCCCGTTAATCATCTCATAGCTCAACAGACCATGGACAGAAAAAAGAACGCATGTCATAGCTGGAAAGTCTGAAGGTCATGTGGGCGTCAACATGTTTACTTGAGATATTTATTCTGATTAAAATAGTGAAGCATATTTCATACAGAGGAGTGAAGAATAAATCCTAACTTAAGCTTAAGCTAATAATGGAGTCACCGCTAAGTTTTTTGCTTTATTCTGATGGAGGTTTGGCTGCTTTATTATGAGAGCCTGAAATCCTGACCCAGATTTATTTGCTCTTTTCAGACTTTTGTATTTTATTTCAAAAGTTGAAATAAGACAAAATGAAGGTCTACCAAGTTGTAGGGAAGGGACATGAGGATACCACAGGTCAGAGAAAGGAGAATGGGTGACAATGGTACAGACATAGCAAGAGCATAGAACTTGAACCCTCTGGATAAAGAAAAAAATGTGCAAAATGTGTTTTGAATATAAGTTAAACTTATTTGCTGTTCAAGGTGATAAATGCATGCAAGAGAGCACTCACCACCCCCCAAAATGTGTGTGTTTGGGACGGTGGACGCTAGTAATGGGGCAGGAAACGACCCATTTATTTTATATACACACTACAGGGGACTTCCGTGGTGGCTCAGCTGGTAAAGAATCCGCCTGCAATGCGGGAGACCTCTGTTCGATCGCTAGGTCGGGAAGATCCCCTGGAGAAGGGAATGGCTACCCACTCCAGTATTCTGGCCTGGAGAATTCCAGGATAGAGGGCTACAGTGGGCTACAGTCCATGGGGTCGCAAAGAGTCGGACACAACTGAGGAACTGTCACTTTCACTGGGCAATAGAGCTTAAGTATCATTTAAAAATCAGTGGTTTGCTTTTTCCTTTCTTGTTTGTTTGGTATTAGAGGAAGGAATTTAAAGTCAGCATTTTTTTTCTTTTCTTTCTTGCTTTTTTTTAAAACAGAAAATCATCCCAGCCATTGTAATCTGAGGTGGGTGAGCCAGTCGAGAGAGCATGGGAACTGGGAAGGCTTTCAGACTGACACAAATCCAGGTCTGTTCCCACCATCCGGGGTTATTGTACTATTTCACCACCTTCCTGAGCTGCAGCAGGAGCGGCGGCTGCCACACCGTGGGGCCGGGGGCTCCCACAGCTGCTCAGCGGGAGGGCACCAGTGTCCCTGCCGTCCCGCCCGCTGGACTCCAGCGGGGCTGTGGCCAGCCAAGGCTCACACAGCCTACCCCACAGCACTGGAGAGCTTCAAGATTACAGATTTCCGAGTCACACTGATGCATGGCAAAAACCATCACAATATTGTAAAGTCGTTATCCTCGTAAAATAAATAGATTTAAAAGAATACAGATACCAGATGATTAAAAAAAGATACCTGGTGTTCCTTTGCCCTACACCTGGGGGAAGTGCCACCGTTATCTTTGAGATAACAGAGAGACTGGGAAGAAGGCCTTTGTAGGTGTGCCAGATTTTTGAGGCATTTTGTCAAACATAGGATTGTTGTGGTCATTGGTTAAACCAGCTAGTTCTCCTGATTGGGATGGCTCCTGCCTCGTATGAGAGAACCACCGACCGGCCATGGCTTGGCCCCCGGCACTCTACAGTAGGGTGTATTCTTTAAGGGGTGTGTGATCTCAGCGTACCCTGACTTCCTTGCACAAGTAAGAAGGGCCAGCTCTGCTCACAGCGCTCGCTGGACACTCCAGACATCTGCCCTGAGAGATCTAAAGGCAGAAGCGACCCACGAGAGTGCCAAGGTTAGTGGGACAGAGGGCCTGTGAACTCCAGGGTGGAAGGGTCCCCTCCGAGACAGGACATCTCAGAACCACATAGCCCAAGGGGCTTGACTGCTTAAGACTTCTTAGCTCTCTTTAGAATTACCTTGGATTTTACAAGGGATCTTGTTTGTGACAGCAAAGCCATTTGTATCCTTAAACAAGAATTACAAACAGCAACAGAAAATTAACTCCAAAATAACCTGGAGAATAAATACACAGACACACCCACACACCCACACACCACCGTTTATATGCAAAACGTTTGACTCAAGACAACACACAGCTGCATACAAACGTACACAGTGACTCTGTACCCTCGTGATCAACCAAGTGCCATCACATCTGTATCTGGGTGGCCATGCAGAAAATGGAACCGTCGGGTAGACAAAGGTGCGCGTAGCTGTGTGTGCGAGTTTCTCCTCCTCTCTCACCGCACATCCCAGCCCCAGCCCCAGCCCCGGTACTGGCCTCTTTCATCTTTACAGGGCAGACTCGGTACATTTTACAGGACCTCACATACACTGCTGGTTGAACTGAGCAGGCAGGAGAAGGTATTAAAAATTGGCAGGTCAGGGGTGAAGCATGTTTTTGCAGGATCGACAGAGCCTCTACAGATAGAGCATCAAGATAGAGCATCAGTTTGGGTTAATCCTGAATTGCAGCGTCTCCAGGTTGAATAAAGAAACCACTCAACAAAGGATGCTCCTTCCCCAGGCTGAAGAAGCAGCTGGTGCCACCTACAGCCTGGAAACTGATTCTACAACCTGCACCTGCCACCCTGGCTGGTCCTCTGAGGAAGACAGATTAGAATTGATGCAAGGGATGGAAAATGGGCAGTCAGCTCTCAAGATGAATTTCCTCTGATAAATTGCCAACAACTACAAGTGTGTTTAAAAATGATTTTGGCTAAAGAGATTTTGAAGATTGTAGCAATTAGATCAAGATTTGTGAACTTCATTTCTTATAAATATATTTCTTCTAGAACGCATCTTATGAGATGTGGTCACATCCTTTTTTTTTTTTTTTTTTGGCATATAGCAATCCCAAATCATTCAGCCCAGTCCTAGATTAGGTTAGTGGGCACACACTTATCCACATTGTCCTATCTTCTTAGGGGAAACGGGATTACTATGAAACCATCAGAGAGCACACACTTCTGAAAAGAAATGAAATGTATTTTTATTGGCGGAGCCAAGATGAAGTATGTCTTGAAATCTGTTTTACAAATAAACTTGCCCATAAATTGTCCATTCACTGCTTTGAAATCTTTTTTCACATTTGAGGAGCTGTCAGCGGTCCCTAATAAACATGAGTCTTATTTAGTTTACTGGATATGTAATTCTTCTTTTCTTTGAAAATAATTATTTTTCAAGCAAGTGCAGCAAAAATACAACCAATAAAAATCTCGCTATGGCAGCATAAACAACCTTTATAGCCAGCATATACATAGAGTTCTTCCAATAAAAGCAGTTCATGGTAAGGAAGGGGACAGAAAATTGGCCAGACTTTGCCAAGATGGCGTGCAGGGCTCCCCAGGGTTGACAGAGGAAACCACACATCCATTTCCACCTCCCTATCCCAGACTAGTTCTTGGCTATTAGGATGACAGCTGGAGCATCTCAGTTGCTGGGGAGGACCTTGGGCCACAGAGAACAAGGCGTGGTCACTTGGTGGGAACCCAGTGTGTCCAGTTTATCTCAACATCATTTGTGAGGCAACCTTCCCAAGGCCCATTCTTGGAGCCCCCAAAGCTGATGGATCGTGGGGTGAAATTCCCTGGGGGCTCCCGAGGGGCAGAACACAGACCATCCACCTCTTCTCATTCCAGGCCGGGGCCCCTCAGCAGGATTCTGCCCTGGGGCAGTCCAATGGGGGTGACCCTTTGGGGCTCCTGGGGAGGAGCCTTTGTTCAGCCCAGGCCTGCGGCCAGCCGTGGTCTGTGGTCACACCACCACCCCACCCAGCTTGGGGCCACCCCAGCAGACTGAGCCCCAGTCCGGGAGGACGCCTCCCGTGTGGGTAGGTTCTCAGCAGAGGTGCGGGTGCTCATTTATGCCTTTACAGTAGCTTGAGAAGATGTTATCGCAGCTTGAGAACAGAAATTAAACATGTATCCTTCAGGTGCAAATCTACTGTACTTAGTTTTACTGTTTCTCTGCAGGGGGGCTCCATTAATCTTGTAACAGTGAAATTCTTGAGGAAATTAGTTTCCTCCAGTTGGGTTATCCTCAACCGGTCTTTGGGGGAGGAGTAATTAGGATTTAAGACTCTGTCTTAAAGCAAAGGAAGTATGGCCATTTTACCTGAGTAACGACACTTTTCGATGCCATGCTTTGCCCATTAAAAACCTGTGTGTCTCTCAACTTGCCAACATAGGGTTTACAAAGATTTAGCCAGGTGGGAGCTCAATTCCAAGTCCTCATCTATAGCGGCCAGGTAGGTGTTTTTCTCTGCCTGGGTTTTCTGTGCTCACCTAGCACTCAGCACTCTACTCTGCTGGGGAGTAACCCTTGGGCCCAAGAGGGAAAAATGTTCTCTCAAAAATGGGATGGCTAAAATATGTCCTCACTTATTCAGAAGCGCTGAAATGTTAGCTGTCATTAAACATAATTACACCTCAACCACACCTACCTGTATCTCTTTGAACTGGGGTCAGTTCACAGACACAGGGTGCAGCACTTTTGCTGCAATAAATGCTTCACTTTTCTTCCCCTCACCCCCTGCAACCTGGGGCCTGTAGATTGGCTTTACCGTGGGCAGGCAAGTGGACCCAAGTTTGGTTAGGTATCACAGGCAGTGATGTTTTTGCATCATGGACTGGAAACAGCAAGGGCTTTGGAAAGCTGAAAAGCACTCTGTAGCTGTGGATAACCTTATCTACCTGGTACATGACTGGGGCTCAGAGCTTCGAGGAGTCGTCTTTATTGCCGAGCTCAGTGATCCACCTGCCGAACATTAGACTTGTTGATGTCAACAGTGGTAACTGCATAAAGGGCAGAATCTTCCAAGGAGAGGACATCCCTGGTGGTCAGAGGCTAAGATTCTGTGCTCCCAATGCAGGTAGCCTGGGTTTGATCCCTGGTCAGGGAACTAGATACCACATGCAACTAAAAATTTGTAAGCCACAATGAAGAGCGAAGATCCACTGTGCCACCACTAAGACCTGGCACAGCCAAATAAATGAATATTAAAACTCCCCTGTTCTCCCTCTCCAGGAGCAAGCGCTCCTAACTCGTTGGGGCACATCCTTCTGAAGACTTATTCTTTTCTACATTCACCTATACAGTAATATGTTGTATTTATAGAATTCTGCTTAAAGATGGTCATCAGAGTGAACACCTTGTGTTGCAACATGCTGTTGTCTCCCCTTTTGTTGCATTTTTCATAGCAATCTCTAGATTTTATTTACTTTTTAAGAAAAATAATCTTTTTATTTAAAAATAATTGTACGGTCACATGCAGTTACAACCCACTCTAGTACTCTTGCCTGGAGAATCCCATGGACAGAGGAGCCTGACAGACTACAGTCCATGGGGTTGCAGAGTTGGACATGACTGAAGCGACTCAGCATGCATGCAGTTATAAGAAATAACACGAAGAGATTCTGTGTATGTTTTTTCCCCAAGGACAGCATCTTGAAACACTGTAGTACAATATCATAATTAGGATGTGGATGGATATTCATACAATCTGTCCATCTTTCTCCATTTCCTCAGCTTTACTTTTTGTGTTTTTTTTTTTGTTCTATGCTATTTTGATCACATTCACGTTTGTGTATCCACTACCAAAGCCAGGATACAAAACAGTTCCTCTCTTTTTACATTTTAAATAATGTAATTTACCATCTTCAGTTACATCTTCTCAGGCTGAGTCACAGGTGTAACTGAAGGCCCCTTTCAGTCACTGGCACAGCATTGCCCAAGAGAAAACACAAAATGAGCCAAAAATGAGTCACCTGCATAATTTAAACATCTCTAGCAACCACATTTAAAGGGTGAAAGTGAAAGCTGGTCGCATAGTTGTGTTCGATTCTTTGTGATCCTATGGACTGTAGCCCACCAGGTCCTCTGTCCATGGAATTTCCCAGAGTATTGGAGTGGGTTACCATTTCCTTCTCCAGGGGACCTTCCCAACCCAGGGATCGAACCTGGGTCTCCTGCATTGCAGGCAGATTCTTTACCAACTGAGCTACTAGGGAAGCCCCATTTAAAGGGTAAAAAGAAGTAAATCTAATTTTAATAATATATTTCACACAACCCAGTATATTTCAACATGCAATAACTGTAAAGACCATTCACGGGATACACTACATGAACTTCTTTTGGTAATGAGTCTCTGAAACTCCATAAGTCCACTTCGCCCCTCCCCCCCCCGGGTCACAAGTAGAGAGCGTGGTTCGGAGCATCTACCACGTGCCGGGCTCTCACTCAGCCTCTGGGATGGAGACACAACTCGCGCCCTTGATGTGAGACCACAGGCGCTTTGAACACGGTGAGGGGTGAGGGGTGCCCACAGTGCAAGCTGCGCAGGAGCCCTCATCTGAGGGTGGCCCCATGGGGCCTGTCCTCCAACCCGGTACAGAGCCAGAAGACCCCTCATGTCTGGAGGAGCCCCATGTGTCTGGGTGGAAGTAATGGCGGTAGTGGACCTGGGGTCCACGAGGGGCGCTTTGGAGACACGGCCGGGGCTGGTCTGGGGGGAACCTTAAAGAGACCATCCTCCCCCGCCCTCCCCCCAGCCATCGGCACCGGGGGCAGGGGAGGGCACTCTGCGGGAGGTTTCCTTGGCGATGGAGGCTACCGGGACCATGGACAAGGTCACCCAGGCTGGAGAGGAGTGCGAAGCAGTGGTGGAGAGGTGGCGAGGGGGCACTGCCTGGAGCGTCAGCATCAGGAGGTGCAGAGGGGATCCGGGGGAGGCCTGAGGTTAGAGGGGCGCGGGGCGAGGGTGAGCGGGTCCTGGAGCCGGGCCTGACCTCACAGTGGGTGATGGTGGGCCATGCGCTGACGCGGCTTCGGGTTCTTCAGGGCCGAATTCGAAATTCCTTGTCAGCGGTGAGGATCGGAGAGGGCGCAACCTCCCTGCCTCTGATCTCCCTTTCTTCCATCCCTACCATTTGGATTAAAATTTCAGCTTGTTAAATACACGCTTCCCTAGTGGCTCAGATGGTAGAGTCTGCCTGCAGGGTGGGAGACTCGGGTTCGATCCCTGGGTAGGGAAGATCCCCAGAGAAGGAAATGGCAACCCACTCCAGTACTCTTGCCTGGAGAATCCCATGGACAGAGGAACCTGGTGGGCTGCAGCCCATGAGGTCGCAAAGAGTCGGACACGACTGAGCGCCTTTACTCACTCAAATACACACATCACACATACACACACACGCATAAACCCTTCTCGCAGCTGCCTTAGGAGCTGCCAGCATCGCAGGCGCTGACTTCCAGGAGCCGCGGAGGTCAGGATTCCTGAGAGTCCAGAGCCCCGGGGGTCAGGGTCCTACTCGGCCGGCCGGACGCCACAGCCCCAGGGTGTTCACCAGCTCCGAGCTGGCACACGGCCCTGGGGGGGCGGGGCGGGCCAGGGGGTGGGGCCTCTGGGACGGCCGGGGGCGGGGCTTCCTGCGCCACCGCCCGCGCTCCGCCCCCATCGGCCGCCCTCGCTCGATTGCTCTTGTCTGGCGGCGGCAGCATGGCGGCGGGGGCGGTTGAGGCAGCGGCGGCCGTGGTGGAGGTCGGCTCAGCCGGGCAGTTTGAGGAGCTGCTGCGCCTCAGAGCCAAGTAAGCGAGGCGGCGGGCGGCAGGGGTGAGGGGACGCGGCGGGGGCCGGCCTCATGGGCGGACTGCCCGGCTCCCTCATGCGCGGCCCGGCCTGAGCGGCCCGGACCCCGAGCCCGGGTCCCCGCCCCTGTGAGGGAGCGGGTCTACCGCAGACCCAGGTCCCGAGCCGCCAGGCGCCCCGAGGCGCCAGGCCTGGCGGCCCCCCGGGGGTCGGCGACGCGGGGACCCAGCCCCCGGCCGGGGGTGGGCGCGGAGACCCCGGCCCCTTGCCGTGTCGTCCCGGGCGGACGCTGCAGGGAGGGGCCGAGCGGGGCCGGCAGTTGGCGTCTGAGGGCGCTCGTGGTCGGGCCGAGCGCGCCTGCCTGGGCGCTGGACGGGGCTCTCCCATCTCCTGAGCGCCGCCCTCGGTTCTGGTTTTGATCGCCTGCCTCTCGCCCTAGGGGGAGGCGTCGGAAGGAGACCCGCGGGGGTGCGTTGGGCCCGTTTGGGGGATACCCGGAAACACCGTCCCCCGCCCCCCAACTTGTGGGTCGGCACTGGCGGGCGCGCGGGGCTTCCGGGCGGTCTCTCCGCTTCCACGTCGAGCCCTCGCCTGGGCACCCGCTCTCCGCTCAGCCCCATGCTAGCCCAGGGCCTCCCCTGTGCTCGCGCCCTGGCGAGGCCTCGGTGTCCTCTGCGATGAGAGGGGTCAGGGCCGTGGGCGGGAGCTCTCGGAGGCTCCAAGGGGCAGAGAGCCTGCGCGGAGCTCAGGGCGGTGGGGCGTGTGAACCTGAATGCAGCCCCGAGTCTGAGTTGGAGGCAGATGGGGAGCTCCCTGGGAGCGTGGCAGGGGGCGGGGGGGAGTGGGGGTGCGGGTGAGAGGGGAGAGCCTCTGTCTTCCTCACCCCGGTGCCGAAAAGTGTTCATCAGAACAGCTCATTTGGCGTTTCAGGTCCACTTGGTAAATTGTTGAAAGAGGTGGGCCCGGGGAGGCGGGTGCGTAGGGAATGACGTTGACTCATTGATGGAAAGGGATGCGGCCTGGAGGCGGCCTCTGGAAGGAGCCAGGCTTGTTTGGATCTGTCCTTAATAAACGCTCAGTTTTCCCATCTTAAGTAAACAGCGCCTGACGTCATGAGCACAGAAACCTGAAGCAGACCAAAACGCTGTCACCCTCTCCCGGTGAGGGTGAAGACTATTTTGCTGTTTGTGTGTTTGGCATTTTTGATTCTATGTTTCATTTTTTTTTTTTAAACGTAAAAATCCTTAAGACGTCACAGTCGGTTAAAATTTCAATGTTAATACCATTTGGATGCATTCTTGCCTGTATCTGAAATGACCCAAGTTCAGAGCAGTGGCAAGAACACATCCAAATGGTATTAACATTGAAATGATTCCTTTAGATGGGCACGTGGGAAGTGGTGCTTGGCATCTGGGGAAGGAACAGATCTCTGCTCCTTTTGGTGGAAATGGCAGCATTTCAGAATATGAAATGCCTTGTTAATGCCATTTAACGTCTGTTTGACAGATCATCGCTTCTCAGTTTTAAAATTTCATGTGAATTGAAAATGGTTTTTCCTAAGTCGTCTAATCACATGTTTATGTGTTATTGAAACCTCAGTTAGTCTATACAGTGGGGATATTAATACCCATTTGCAGAGTAATTAAGGTTTTGCCCATTTGTAAAATATTTAACTAATATAGTTTAATACTATATGATTTTAATACATGGTAGTTGGTTTTATCTGCACAGGATTAACCTCAGGAGCAGAACATCTGAAATAACAGAGACAGCCGTTTATTGACCACTAATTATTTTACTGACAACCAAGGTTCATTACGTTGTTTAGAAGCACAGTAGTTAGGATTTGAACCTCGGTCTTCTCTAAAAGGTTTTTCCTTAAACAGTGCGCCCTGCACATTGGGCTATCCATGAAGATGGAGAGAACAGTGTGACGTCAGGAGAGGGTGACAGCATTTATGTTTGTTTCAGGTTTATGTCCTCATGATATTAGGCATTGTTCACTTAATTGGAAAGTAGAAGTTAAGCATCTAAATATGAGAATAGCGTGGATAATTTAAAATAACATTAATCTAATTCTTTAATGTTTTTAAAGGGCTTAGATATTTTTGTTTGATCTTCCCAACCTCCCAGGGTATTATTGCTGTTTCACAGATGTGGAAGTTAGGTTAAATTACTCTTCAAAGCCGCATTAGTAGTGATGGAATTTAAGTTGTATATGTGTACTTTTTCTTTTTTACATACGTTGGCACATACTGTTAAAAAGTTTTGTAACCTATTTTAATTTTTTTAAAATGTACTCTTTGTAAGCATTTTCCTATGTTATTAAATGTTCTTTGAGATATGATTTTTAATGACTTTATAATATTTTATGATCATTAAGAAAACTATATTGTTGAACAATAGCTTTTTACAGTTACTTGCTATGTAGAATACTGGGGAAGTATTCATATACATACATCTTTGTCTCGTTAATGACTTCTATAGGATAGATTCTTGACAAGAAATTTCTGAAAGTTTCCAATTGAACTTTTACCAGTGGGATATGAAAGTGTTGTCTCACTTTATCCTTTTTATCATTGAATATTATGATTTTAAAAATCATTTTTCAGTTTGGTAAGAAGTGGTAATGTCCAGCTGCATGCGTGAGAGGAAGAGGAAGCAGTAATTGGTGAAGTATCAATACTTCCTCCATAGTCTCTGGCCATGCGCCAGCACTCCTCTGAGTTCTAGATACAGTGGGGGCCCATGGAGTGGGGGCCTTACCGTGTGTTCCTCTCCTGCCTTAGGTGGCTCTTCATTCGGAGCCTCCTGCTTTCTGTGTCCCAGGCAGCTGTCCCTTCTTCTTTGGTCCTGTCTGTGACCTTTGTCCTCCATTTTCCTTTGTTTCAGCACAAGACCTTGCTTCCTACCTGAGAAAATAGGACTTCAGTAGCCTCATCAGACTGCTGCTTCTATGTGCCCCTCCACCAACACAACAGATTTACTTGTAGCTTTTCCCACTCTAGGGGCTTCCTGGTGGCTTAGATGGTAAAGAATCCGCCTGCAATGCAGGAGACCTGGGTTCGGGTTCGACTCCTGGGTCAAGAATATCCCCTGGAGAAGTGAATGGCAACTCACTTCAGTACTCTTGCCTGGAGAATCACGCGGACAGAGGAGCCTGACGGGCTACAGTCCATGGGGTTGCAAAGAATTGGGCACGACTGAGCAACTAACACTTTTTTTTCACTTTACCCATTCTTGATTCCTTTGCTCCTGACCCAGAGGAAACTGTCCTCTTCTCAAGGTGAATTCTTCTCTGCTCTAGATTTCCCTGTCCTGCCACCTTGAATCTCATGTCTTTAGCCTCTCCCTCTCATTTGCACTGTCCCCTCACAAAATAAACTATGAAGATTTTCTTGCACTGAAAAAAGCCCATCCCTTGATCTGTCTGGATCCTTGCTCTCTCTTTGTTAACAGCCCAGTCTCTTACCTAGTAGGTTCCTAGCAGTTTACTTCCTCATCCTCAGCTCAGTGGTCCACACATTGCTTCTCTCACCTGCTGAGATGACTCCCAACTGCTGGTTACTCTTTTTGCTCCATTTGATGGTTGTCCCCCTCCCTTCCTGACTCCTGTAAGACCCCTGAACCTTCTCTGGTCTACCGCCAGACTCCTTTCCCTCCGTCTCTCTTGACGTGGTGTTGACGAGCCCCAGAGGCTCTGCCCTTGGCCCCTTCATTCCCCGGCGTGGATGAGTGGTGCCCATTGTCTCTTGATTCGCAGACCTGCGGGTTAAGTGTGGCCTTTCCTGCGCTCGACTGCCACTGACAGCCCACTTGACTTCCTTTCCTCTCAGGCTGCCAGCTTCTGCTGTGACTCGTGGTGGGTGCCACCGCTGCCTAAGTCACTGAGCCAGAAACTCGGGGGTACTCAGCCCCTTCTTTGCTCAGCTGTGTTGTTCTAACGGTTTGACAGCTGATTACTTTTTTCCTCGCCCAGGTTTAATTGTCCTTGTTTTTTCCTCCTTGTAACATATTTTTCAATGTGTTTTTCCTGAATTTTCAGATTTTTTGTAGGTGAAAGTGAAAGTCGCTTAGTGTGTCCTACTGTTTGCTGACCCCATAAACTCTACAGTCCATGGAATTCTCCAGGCCAGAATACTGGAGTGGGTAGCCTTTTCCTTCTCCAGGGGATCTCCCCAACCCAGGAATCGAACCCTGGTCTCCTGCATTGCAGCTGGATTCTTTACCAACTGAGCTGTGAGGGAAGCCTTTTTGTAGTTGAGAGAGAGTGTATTTGAATTTGGGCTTCCCAGGTGGCGCTGGTGGTAAAGAACCCACCTGCCAGTGCAGGAGCCATAAGAGGCTCAGGTTCGTCCCTGAGTCGGGAAGATCACGGCACCCACTCCAGTCTTCTTGCCTGGAGAATCTCATGGACGGAGGAACCTGGCCGGCTCCAGTCCATGGGGTTGCAGGCTTGCACACGACTGAAGCAACTGTTAGAATTTAGAATTTTGTAAAAGTGAAGGCTTTTTCAGTTGAGTATGAGGTTAGACTTAAAGGTGTCTTTGCCAACATAATTTTATATGAAAATAGTTAATAGATATATACTGAGATTTCTAAAGATTTTATCAACAGTTTATTAGTCCACTATTTTGTCTGTTCATACTGTCAATTTTTAGAAAATACTTTGTAGCATAATATAAGAAAGTTTGTCTGTAAAAAGCAGTTCCGTTTTTTCCTTTTTTTCTGCTTATATATTTCATTTGCCACATTTTATTCCTATTCCTATGATCACTTCATTACAATACCATGTTTAAAAATACTAACATTAATAGTAGTAACGCATATACAGTCATGTTTCACAACCATTGTGTCCTGACTGCAGAAGTCTAGTTTCCTGCAGGGTCTCAAAATAGAGTTAATTTACATGGCTAGTAGTTGAGGTGGGTGAATATTCAGAACCACTTCATGTGAGCTAAATATTGACTCAAAAAATATCATTAATTTGAAAATTAATCCGAAAGAAGACCTTGAAATCATATTTCAGCCTGTGTTTAATATAAGATTCTAGCAGTACAAAAACAATTCAGGCGGTCCTTGAAAGGTTTCTTTGGTAATAGAATTTAATCTATTACTATTTGCTTATTTCTAAAGCTACTGTATTTTTAAAAGCTGTGTTTTTCGGATTATAGGTCCCTTCTTGTGGTCCATTTCTGGGCACCATGGGCTCCGCAGTGCGCTCAGATGAACGATGTGATGGCAGAGCTCACCAGAGAGCACCCACAAGTCTTGTTTGTGAAGGTACTGCGTTTTCAGTGTCTTGTCTTAGGAATTTAATTCTGATTTTTGGGTTAGACTACATTTTATTGACATAGAAAGGAGTGGTGGTGTGGGATTCCTCATATTCATAGGTAGTGTTGGGATCTGTTATTTTCACAGTAGATTATTCTTAAGCCATTTTAGGTTTTATATTTTTCAAGCAGGGAGTGGTGTAAAACTCACCACACTTTCCTGAATACATGCTTGGGTGGGAGGACAGGATGGGCAGTCAGGAGAGGGTTTACCTCAGCACTGGCAGGCGAGATCACTCATTGTGGGTAATTGTGGTTTTATACAGTAGAGATGTTAACAAGACTTGCTTCATTGAAAAGCTAAGTGGGACATGGAATGTGATTCAAGAAAGGGTGTGAGGGTGGCAGGGAACGGGAGTAGGGAGAGCTTGCTGCCAGGGGTCGGGCAAATGCAGGCCTGCGGGGAAACCAGCCTCTCTATCGCGTTGGGGAAGCAGAGGGAGAAGGAAGCCAGCCTCTCCCTGGCTGCCTTTGTTTTTGCTCACTTTGCATGTGGCCTTCTTTGTCCTTGCTCTGGTGCTCCAGGCTCCTCATTCCTGGTGCCTGTCTCGGGTAGGCAGGACTAGGATAGTGAGAGTTACCAAGGACGAGCTCGCTTGGTTTTAGCACATTTAATGTATCAGTGAGGACTTGTTGAGGCAACAAGGCCAACATTTGAGTTGAGTGTTTTAGAAATGAACTTTTGGGAAGGGAGGCATACCCTGTATTCAGAAGCTGAATCTTTAGGAAAGAAAGCAGACAAAAGCCCAAAGCCTTATTTTTTAAAAAAATAACTAGAGGATGTGTTGGCAAGCATATGGAGTTAAAAGTGATATCAACTGTATTTGTCTGTGTGCCACTTTTATGTAAACTGAAGACCCAGAATTCTGACACATTAATTTATTTGTATAGTGGCTGATACACTTTTCAGACAGTTTCTGTTTAAATATGTGTCCTTTGAACAGGTATTGATTGCACATAGATGGTTGAAAATCAAAACAGTGTAGGAAGAAGTCCATTGAGAAGGCCCAGCCTACTCCTTCCCACCAGCCCTGCCGTCCCATCCCATAAGTAACACTTGTATTAATTTTGTATGAATCCTTGCTGTGTTTCCTTATGCAGATAGAGCACGTATGAATAGTTAGCTTTTTAAAATTTAAGGACTTACTTAAAATTCCAGTGAAATGTGTAATGTAACCTTAGAATACAACCTTAAAATGTCCAGTATAAATAATAGAAGCGGACATTAAAACTGCATGTTTGGTCAGTGATAAAAGATAACGATTACAAGTGAAATAAATGATTAAACATTTCAATCGTAAGATTAATCAAGACAATGGTAATTGTTGTAAGTCTGCTTTTCTGTATATCATGTTACTGGTTCAGGTAACACATTGTTCTTAGCTGCCATTTGAATGATTTATTTAAAGTGACTGTAGGATTACTTCTCACGTCAGTACCGGACTTGGCAGTGAGATTTTAAGTTGTTCAAGTGCTTAAGTGTTTCGGCAAGCCAAGGGTTGGGAGCCCTCATCTGTTGGGGATACCTGACCCTGACTGCTCCTGCTGTTCAGAGAGGGTGACAGGTTCATGTGGGCAGTTTGCTCAGGCGTTAGTTTCTGGGAAGTCACTCTGTGGCATAGTTTTCTTTTCTTAGACGTCTTCAGAGGCAAAGATGATTTGCACGTAGGTAGGCGATTTAAAGGTCACAGTGCCGAGCAGTAGCCAGCCCAGGCGAGGCGAGGCCCTGAGAGGGGCGCTGGCATTTCCCAGGAGGGGCATGTTGGCCAGCTAAACACAGCTTCCTCAGGGAGGGTTCTGTGGCTCTTCCAGTCTACGGGTCGACATTGTCTAACTCTGTTTCTTGTGATTTGATTTCTTGGTTTTTGTTTTTTTTAAACAGCTGCAGTTGTTTGGCAGTTTTGACTTGAGGTATAGAGATTAGTTCATTCTGTGACTTAGATTTACAGAATCATTGCATAGGACAATCTTATACACTGTGTTCTTAATACTTTGATTCTAAAGTTTTGTGATCAATTCCTTATTTTGTAGAAGATGGTAAAATAACATCTGAGAGAAACCTAGAATACATTTTTTTTTTTAATCCAGCTGTTTGTGCCCATTGGAATAGGTTGCTGAAAGGCAAGGTTTTCACTTCCTGCGTTGGAATCCCCTCACTTCCTGGACGGATGATATGGTGATAAAGGACGTGTGCGCCTTCCTGGTGCCACGTGTAGGCCGGCTGCCGTGTGTCCACCTGTGTTGGCTGCCACGTCCCGTCAGGTCCTGGGGCTGGGCTCTTCCCTGACCTTCTCACACCTCCAAGGGCTCGGAGGAGATAGTGAAGTATTTCTGTTGCTTGAAGTCTCGCAGAAACCTTACATTTACTCAGAATAAGATTAAATAGTAATTAAAATGTCAAGTGTCTTTGCATTTTAAATTATGTAAAGTCAGTTTGTTAGTACTTTAACTACAATGGGAATACACATTTATCATTAAATTGTTTGGTCAGTAGACTATTTCAAGATACAGTGTCTGGTCGTGGCGTGGGAAAGAGGAAGAATAGTTTTGGGTGGTGAAATTGGGGCCACTGGTCAAATTCATGGTTCAAATCAAAGCCATTTAAAAAAAAATAGGAGTTGCAGTTTATTTTTGAATTCTTACATTTGATATTATTATGACTTTTGCTTTTTAAGTAAAGATTGTGTGTATTTAAAGTGTTTAGCGTGATGATTTAAATCAAATCCATTTTGTGTGATGTCTTTTTTGTGTACCTCTGTGACTTTTTTTCCCTTTCCTCTTTTTCTGAACTTAGTCTGTTCCATTGGTTGGACTGTCAGGGAGTCTCTTGTTTTTTCATTGGCTCTGTCGTTTCATTCCTATTTGGTTGACTTCTTGACTAGGTGGTGAGATACTTGAGGTCAGGACCTTTCCTGTACCATGTTTGTTTTGTTTGTTTTAAATTGCTTTTCTTCGTGCAGGTGACTCCCACCTCACGTGCCAGCCTTTTCTCTTCTTTATTCCCTCCCCTGAATTCTAGCTTAGTCCTATTAGAGTCTAATACTCAATTTACCATATACTGCACTTTGGTATAAAAAATTTATTCTTGAAGTCAGACTTAGCAACCACCTGGTTGGTGAGATTTTGTATTAATGTATTTAATTTACTATTAATCTTGTTTGTATGGTAGCTGCTGTTCTTGCATTTTATGCGCATTGTATTTTCAGATATGATGAAATCAAGAGTACAGAATGAATTATATACTTAAATTTTTTTTTTATTCCTTAAAAAGTAGGAATCTATAGTTTGATATATTCTTAAATGTGCAACCATCTTAAAGAACAGCTTACACTGTAATTTCTAAAGGTTTTTACACTTAGCATAGATAATTTCTGTAGCTTACACTGTTTAAATTCTAAATAATCTGTATGATTAGTGAGTGTAAGCAGAAAATGTAGGGCAGTCTCTAGAAGGGTGCCAACTAGCTGTATAACTAGGTTTTGGCTAACTGGCTATATAACTACTATCAGCATCGGCTAACTGGTATCAGCTGATAACTAGGTATCAGCTGACTATCTGAACTTGTTTTTTGTGTGTGTCAGAATATTGATCAGTTTATTTGGTGTCTTACAGAGCATATGTAGGATTCCATTTTTTAGGAACTAAAAAAATGTGTCTCAGATAATTCTAGTAGGATGGTTAAATCTTAAAAATAACATAGTTTATTAGCTGTTACTGGGTAAAGTTTGGCAAAGTGTTATAAAAAGTTATTAGAAATGTTCATTTAAATACTATTTTGAAATTTATATTTGACTTTCTGACAAAGAATTTGACTTTGAAAGATTCACCTTTTATAGCACGTCACAGAGTAGAAAGAAGCCCTGTATGAGGTATAACAGAGTGTCCCAGAATGTCAGGTGCTTTTGTTTGCTTGCTTGTTTTTTTGAAGTCTAGTTGATTTATGTTGAAATGTCGAGTTTTCTCATCCTTGCCTCCTTGGAGCCTCACTGCTGCCACTGGCAAGTAGTCACTTGTGTTTTTGGCTTAGGAATAGTGACTACTGTTTGTTCAGAATTCTGTTTCTTGAACACTTCATTATATGCCACACAGGATGCTAGTTATTGGGAATACAGGACAGTAAGGGTATAGACAGTAAATGGGTAACACAGAACCAAGGTAATTTCAGGTGGCATGGTGTTCAACAAAAGGAATACAACAGGCAGGCTGTGAAGAGCGGGTCTTGGGGAGGTGGGGTGCTTTTATGTAGGTTGTGCTGAAAGGGTGTATCTACCAAGTGAGAGTTAAAAAATGCAAAGATGGCAATCACTGGAAGAGCTGGCAGAGAACCTTTAGGTAGAGGCTTAGCAGGTGCAGACCTCAGAAGAGCAGTGGGCGGCCAGCGGGGCTGGGGAAGAGGGAAGGGGTCGAGGCCCTGACTGGAAGCTGCAGAGGCAGGGAGGGCCACGTGGCCTTGTGAGCCGTGGTCGAGTTTTGATTTTATTGCAAGTTCAGTCTGATGCAGTCTGATTCCCAAGTCGATTACTGTGGCTGCCACTTGGAGAATGGTTTGAAGTGGGTAAGGGGGCAGACTTGAAGCAGGTCTTCCAGTTAGGAGGCTGTTTGACTAGGCCAGGTAAGAGATTTCTCAGACGTTAGTGGGGAGATTGTTGAAATGCTGTCGTCATCTGTGTCGGCTTATAGTTTAGAGGGGCCACCCAGGAGACCTGTTGATGGATTGGATGTCAGGCTGGAGGAAATAGATCAGTCAAGGTTGTCTCCTTTTGATCTGAGCAGCTCAGTGGATTAAATGAGATCGGGGCTGCCCTGGGGAGGAACAGGTGCAGTGGGAAATATCTAGTGGGGATCTGTGGGCAGATGTCGAGTGTGTGGCTTGGAGGTGAGAGGAGAGGTTTGTGCTGGGTAGAGGTTGGCTGGCGGTGCCATACTGGAGCCTTAGAGCCAGGGTGTTGCCTGAGACCACTCTAGGAAAATGAGTGTAGGTGAGAGAAGCAGGTGCAGAACCAAATCCTGGGATGTGCAGCGATGTCGTGGTTGGCAAAGGTGAAGGAAGAAGCCAGACACTCAGTCCAGGAATTAGAGGAAGAGAAGACATGGAAAGCCAGGGGACGGGAATCCAAGGCGGCAGCTGTGGTCACGCCTAAAGGGTGAGACCGAGAGGTCAGTAAAAGGAGGAGACAAGGAGGAACCGTTGGGTCTGGGGAGGTGCTAACAGGGCTGTGTAGAGTGGAGTTTGCCTGGGGCCGGACTGCCTCGCTCCCCCGCTCAACAGTGTAGTGACCTAGAAACCAGGTGTGACGACAGCACCTGCTGTGAGGATCCCTGCTGGGGCTCAGATGGTAAAGAATCTGCCCGCAATGCAGAGGACCTGGGTTTGGTCCTTGGGTTGGGAAGCTTTCCCTGGAGAAGAGATTGGCTACCCACTCTAGTATTCTTGCCTGGAGAATTCCATGGACAGAGGAGCCTGGCAGGCTACACTCCATGGGGTTGTACAGAGTCAGACATGACTGAGTGAGTAACACTCACTCGCACACTCACTGTGAGGATTAAATGAACCCAGTATGTGAACACTCAGAATGTTGTCTGGCAAAGAATACACCATAGCTCTTAGCCATTACTATCATGGTGGTCTTTGGGGACCCCTGATATATCGAAGGAGATGATGGAGATTCCTTTCCTCTGGAGTCATCCTGCTGTGGTAGTGCTCCCTGCCCTCCTCCTGTCTCCACAGACACACAGCATCCTGGGTGGGAAGGGTCTCAGTTTGAGATTCACGGTGTAGGAAGCACGTGGTTCCCTCAAGGCATTCTGGCTGGGAATTTATTCCAGACGTGTCCATGTCTGTTTGGTCCTGAAGTCATATATAATCGTGTCTTTTAAATTTGCTGTTTCTTACTTGTTGTGGTAGAAAAGGTAACTGTAGCATAATGAGAAAAGCACAGGGTTTGTCATCAAACAGACATGGGTTTGTTTCTCAGCTCTGCTGCTAATTAACTGTGTCTGGAGTGGCCTCTGTCCTGGCCCTGTGGAGCTGAGATGATAACACGGCCCCTGCTTTCCAGGTTGTGACAGGTCTGGTGTGTAGCACAGAGCAGGCCTCCAAGGGAGGTAGCTCTTGTTGGCCATCTTTGGTCACTTCAGAATGCAGAAGAAAATTGAAATGAAAAGTTTTGAATATTTATGCATTTATCTTCTACTTTCATTGTTATAACTGTTATGTTGCTTTACATCCAACAGAAATATTTCCAAGGAGTTTTAGTGCTGTGAAGGTTTTCGGACTTCAGCTGCCCTTGCTATTCTGGGGAGCGGCTTTGCCTTTAATGGCCCTCCTGGTCTGGACTCAGGAGGATTTGCCTGTCACTGTTGCCTTTGTCTTATTAAGCTCCGTCTTCTGGGAGCTCATTTCAGGGGAGGCACGTGTAGTGACCCTCCTGGTTTCAGCAGGAATTTTGAGAGCAGCATTTGCTTCCCAGAAGAGCTGTCAGTAAGGGGCCTCACTGGGAACCAGCAGAGATAGGAGAAGAGGTCAGCTTTTAAAGCATGCAGGGATTTGACTTTATGAGTCAGCATGTGACTTGTTTTGTTCTGTTTAAGACTCTGTTATCTTGCTTCTACTTAGTAGCACCTGTTTTTTGATTTGTATTACTTTTCTGTTAGAATCCCGGAGTGCAAGCGATGGGGATCTTCACTGAGCCTGGCCCAGTGCCCAGAGTGTGGGGGGCACTCACCAGATGTTAGTGCTGCCTCGGTCACCACCTTTCTGCTCTTCTTTGGTCTAGTGTGGAATTGTCTGAAAGAATATGGTACAGAAGTTCCTTAGACTTTAGAAAGAATGTCTTCTGAATAGCTGTCTCCAAATGCTTAACCTTCTCTTTGTTCTTTTTTTCAGTTTTATTGGACAGTTGACATTGATTTTAAAACATATGTGGTTTCTCACATTAAAAATGAAAACAATTTAAAATATTGTTTCAAAAGGGTGTCCTAAAGAAAATAGAATTAAGGCAGTAAAAGAGCACCCAGGAATATATGAGATGGAAGACACAAGCCACAGACTTAGGATAGCCTCCCCCCGTGTCACGGTCATTTTTACGGATAGAAACAGTGGATTGGTTAAAGCTCTGGATAAAGAGAGTATTTTAAGCCCAGTGGAAATCTTTTACTCTTGGAAAAACACAGTGTATATATATTTAAAACTCTTTAATAACATAATTTATCAATAAATTCTATTTCCTATAGGTGTAATGTGGATACAGATTTTTATTGGTTTTAAAAGTTTATATTACATTGACAGTCCTGTGAGGGAAAAACACAATATATCTTGGTTTTTCTCAAAGTATATAAAGTCCACATAAAAAGCTTATAGTAATTGTATTCTCATTATTTAGAGAGCATGTTACTAAATACGTTTAAATTTGTGTCAAATATCATATCAGATCTTGTTGAAGGGCTTCAAGGAAATTTTCAAATAGAATGTGGTCATCTTATTTAAAATGCATTCAAATGTATGAACAGACCCAGAAGCAAGTAACCTAGCAAGATATCTATCTGCTTAGGGTTCAGCAGCCTTTCAGGAGTTAAAAGTAAAATTTATCAGACATCAATAGTTTATTGAAGAAATACTCCTTTTTGCTTCATAATTTGCAGAAGGCTGCAACTGTCAGTCATGATGTACTGCCTCTTGAAATTAGTCAATAGAGCAAACAGCAAGGATTGCTGTGGGCAGAAAATAAGCACTGTAATCATGACATAACTGGGGTCAGTGATTTATGGATTTCAATATAGTAGTAGCTGCATATGATTGAAAATTTACTAGGTCACTAGTGCACCAAAAATTTTATTCACAGCCTCCAGGCATCTTTTGAAATGTGCAACAAAATAAAAACCTCTGAACCTGTTTTGACACCGCAGACTCAGTGGATGACATGCCAGCCCAGTGAGTCTCATTTAAATGTAAATGTGTCATAAACTTTTGTACTGTACTCTTTAAAACCGTCAACTACCTGAAGGGATAATGCATGTGAAACTGATTTACATGTTGAAGTAGTTAAAAAGAAAAGACCTTTTTATAATCACGCTTAAATTCTTTTATTTTAAAGTTGGAAGCAGAAGCTGTTCCTGAAGTATCTGAAAAATATGAAATTAGTTCTGTTCCCACCTTTCTGTTTTTCAAGGTAAGGATAAAGATGGTGGAGGAGACGCTTTGTCAGTAACACGGGGCCGTCTCTGCCGGTTCCTCTACCCTTTCCCCTGATTGCTGAGCACAGGGTGTTCGCTTGCTCATCGCCTTCACTGTCTTATAGTCTCATTACTTGTTTGCCCTGGGGGTCCTGGAAAAGTGACATGGTCTGTGGAGGTCCAGCCACCAGAATGCATGACTGTAAACCCAAAATGTTTCCTGAGTTGGGTCAGAAGTTGGTTGGTTGGGAAGTTGGTTGGTTGGGGCATGTGCCTGGATATGATGAAACATCTGGCCGCTTCTGGTTTGATTAATGACTCTCTTAGGAAGTGGGTGCAAATCTGTGTTTCGGGGCACCCCTGGGTGTCACCATAGTTCCCCAGGTACCTCCTTTGTACTTCATAACAGCTTGACCACAGTGGGGGTGGGGAGATCCTTTCTGATCTGGTTTGAGGAGCAGTGCTTCTTTCCCAGTGTTTGCAAAAAGGAAAAAGGAAACCAACTATTTATTTCTAAAATTGACATGTATAGCAGGCAGTTTGTAATCCGAGTTTTAAAAAATTTCTCCCGTGATAGTGTTGACCTCTTTAAATATTGGCTAGAGCTATGGACTTGTGCTTGTTATAATTTTGGAACCTAAAATAGATGATGAAGGAATGTACACATACTCTAAATGACTTCTTTAACTTTAGAATTCTCAGAAAATTGACCGATTAGATGGTGCCCATGCCCCAGAGTTGACCAAAAAAGTTCAGCGACATGCGTCTAGCGGCTCCTTCTCACCAAGTGGTGGTGAGCACCCGAAGGAAGACCTCAGCCTGCGCCTGAAGAAGTTAACTCACGCTGCCCCCTGCATGCTGTTCATGAAGGGAACTCCTCAGGAGCCGCGCTGCGGTAAGGGGCTGCTCTGAGCCACGGCCTCACGGGGGTTGGGCCTGAGACCACGTGCTCTGTGCAGACTGTGCTGGACATCTTATTTCAATGCTTGTGATCAGACACCCTTAGAAGAGCAGAAAGGTGGTAATTTCCAGTGGACTCTCTAGTTAGGTGATGAGAACTTGTTGGCAGTGTAGACTTGGAGAATGTTGGAACCAAAAGGCATCTTGGAAATCATCTAATTCAAAACCTTTGTTGTCTGCCTAATTCCCAGTGAAGGCAATTTGCTCAGCCACTGAGTAGCAGAGTTGGGGTTGAGTCCTGGCCACCATATTGCTGTCTCCATTAATAGGCTTTGGTCTGTTCAGCTAATCTTGCTCTTAACACTTACCTTCTCTTTCTTGGCAGCCTCCTTTTATTCATATGGTTCAGATTCAGCAGTTCAGAAATGCACAGAATTACGGTAGTGTTCCAGTGTCCACCCTGTATGCTTTTGCCTTTCCTGTTGTCTCTCAGTGTCTGATGACACTGTTCACCCATTGCTGTCATTTCCAATTCATTGCTTCTCGGGATTTAAAGATTCCTAATTCTGTGGCTTATAGTCACTCTTACTATCTTACCTCAGATATGCATGGAGTTTTGTCCTTAAGTAAGTTTCAGAGTTATTTGACACCTCTGGTATTGAATTTATGTTGTTTTCTTTTTACTGTGCCTCATGCAACATTATTATGCTGCATAATTGAGCATTTAATGCCTTTCGATGATGCTGTTGAGAACCTAAGAGTGTTGGTTTCAACTACACAGGAGGGATTTGTTAAAGACAGGTGGCAGGGAAATTAAATGTGTTATCAATATCATTACTGCATGTCCAGTGTGACTTTATAAATACAGCCAAACTTACACTATAAAGTTAGTTGTAAATTCTTCCCTATATAGTTATCAAATTACATATTAAATTATGAAAAAGTCTAGTTTTAAATGTGAAGTTTCATGGTGAATTCTGTCTTAGTTAAAGAAATGGTTCCTTTATTAGTTCTGCTTGAAAATTTTCTTTGCCAGCATTTACATGTTAGATGCCTGCTGTTTATGTATGGAAAGGCTGACTTAGTCTATGTGAGAGTTAAACAGAGAGAGCCGCAGACAGGTTCTGCGTGTTGGTTGTCTGTTTTTATTGGATGCTGCGCTTGGCCCGCCTCCCCCATCAGGCAGGAGCACTGTTTCTGGCACGTTCTGTGCTGACCTCACAACAGCAGTCCCGTTGGTCCTAGTCAGGACCTTCATCAGGCCTGAACCATGCAGAACTGGCTCTAGGGCACGGAGGAACCTGCGTGACAGGTTAGACACAGTAGACCCACAGTAAAACCAGTAGGGTGTTACCTTCTTTGGGAGCAGAGCAGTGATCCTCTCTTAATCTCTTCTGAATGAAGAGATTACCTGGCAGGTGAAACTGCAGCTGGGGAAGGTAGTCTGAATCGGCAGAGGGGAAGGGGATGTCCTGGAATGCTTCGAAGACCAGATGCTGGCAAGCGGGTGCTTGTTGGCTGTGCCTGCCTTGATGCCTTGAGCTTCAAGTCGGCCACCTTCCTCGTGCCTTCAGTTCTTCCTTGGTAGTGTCAGAAGGTTGGAGTCATCTGAAAGAGACACGTGCACCCCAGTGTTCATTGCAGCACTGTTTATAATAGCCAGGACATGGAAGCAACCTAGATGCCCATCAGCAGACGAATGGATGAGAAACTGTGGGACATATACACCATGGAATATTACTCAGCCATTAAAAAGAATTCATTTGAATCAGTCCTAATGAGATGGATGAAACTGGAGCCCATTATACAGAGCGAAGTAAGCCTGAAAGATAAAGACCATTACAGTATACTAACACACATATATGGAATTTAGAAAGATGGTAACCATAACCCTATGTGCAAAACAGAAAAAGAGACTCCTATGTATAGAACAGACTTGTGGACTCTGGGAGAAGGCGAGGGTGGGATGTTTCAAGAGAACAGCATTGAAACACGTATATTATCTAGGGTGAAACAGTTCACCAGCCCAGGTTGGGTGCATGAGACAAGAGCTCGGGCCTGGTGCACTGGGAAGACCCAGAGGGATTGGGTGGAGAGGGAGGTGGGAGGGGGGACCGGGATGGGGAATAAAAAAATAAGAAAAAAAAAAAAATAAGAAAAAAAAAAAAAGAAAAAAAAAAAAAAAGAAGGTTGGAGTCAACCTTGGAGGGCCATCCAGATGCTGAATGATTATTCAAATAAAATAGAATTACACTTAGAAATAATCATTTTTCTGCTTACCATTTACTTTATTAGGCTGAATGTATGAGGTATTTCTAGCCATCTTTATATTAACCACCTGAGTGGTATTTAGAATGCTGTACAAATAATGAGTTAGAGTGAAAAATAAGCTTTGAAACATATCAGAGCAGTATATTATTGCTCTATATTATACACTATAACATACACTATATTATATACATTTAGATAATACTTGGGAGATATAAAAACAATTTTTAGATACATACGATAAACAGTTTCATTCCTTATTATTTTTATATATATGTTATGTAGAATTTTTGTAACTACATTTTAGTAGGCTTTTCTGTTTCCCAGTATTTTGGTTTCTGTGACAGCATGTCTTTCTTCACATATAGTAAATAGATTATTTTGGAATATTGGTATTCTTTACAAAAGCACCTAGTTAAGGCTTAATCGGGAGTCTTCTGCTGTGACTGTGCCCGGCTGCTCCTTCACTGATTCTGCTCTGACTGTTCACCCTTGTTTGTGTGCACGACTCCGTGCACTGTCTTTATCTTGAAACTGTCCTCTTACAGGAACGTACACAACTTTTACCCTCTTCCTTTCTGAGCTTGTTTAGTGGAAAATTGCTTTTGCTTTTCTGATGGTACATTAGAGGGGAGGCCTAGTCAAACTCTTCTTTATAAAAGAACAGCCATCAGTTCTCATGAACTCAGGTGGCTGGTATTTCCACACTTTGTGGAGAATTCACTTTGAAGGCACTGCTGTCGTTAACACGCATTACTCCCTTTGGACTTCCCGTGGGAGTAGAGCTACACTTGATTTTTGATTAGCGTGTCCGAACCTTGCTTTCAGTAAAACAGAAAAACATGAATGAATAACGCTTAAACTTTCTATCAAGGAAACCTTGAAAGCCGTTTCAGGGTCTGCCCTGGGATCTGCTTGGACTCAGCCCAGCCCCTGCACATTGCACATCTCTGTCTTCTCAACCTTAACTTTTGGGCTCTACCTGTAGCATGGTTAGTGTCTCAGGAACCTGGCATGCTGATAGGGTCTCAGTCATCAGAGGGTTAGACTTCCTTTTTCTGTGCTGCCCAGGAGGACAGGAAAGAAGGCTGTTGGTGCTTTAGGATGATTTTCGAGGAGCACTGAGATGCACATCTTTTAAAACAGAATGATAAATCCTTGATCTTGCAGGTTAATTAAGTTTTCTGTGAGTTCTCGTATCTGTTTCCTGTAATAGCACTTTTAGTAAAGCAAAAGGTATTTGAACTACAGTACAGAAATTTCTCTTGCAGTGAGTCATCTAATTGGGTTTTACTTTTTAAATCAGACATGGAAACATTACAGACTCCAAAGCATTCTTTAGGGCTTTTATTGTTGTTAGATAGTGATGAAATGTGGCAGTTAGGCTCCTTATTCATGTCATCTGTCATGAGTGGAAATGATTGTGGAGAAAAATGGTGGTTCTACAACAGTTAAACATGGTTTTTCTACTTCTAAATATTTTTACTGCATTAATGCATTTTTCTTAAAAAAAGTGTGTAAATATTTTGTTATTAAAATAAAGCCTTCTATTTTATCCTTCAGCATAACATTTCCAGTCTGCCACTTTAACCCTTAAAAATGAAACACTACCAATCAATCTCTCTAGTCTGCATGTAATTGCCTAAAGCAAAAATAAAGCTTTTTCTCAGTCAGTTACAGTAGAAATGAGTTAATATATTGGCAACAGAATAACCATCAGCAATCAGCCGTTAGCTGTTTACTAATGAACTCCCAGATGAATGAAAAAATTTCAGAATCAGTGTTTTACTTCAGGCTGTACATGAACTTAACACTTCAGTTGTAGGAAAAGCAACTTACATGCTATACAAATAAACACTGGTGCTTCATCTCAGTGAATGGCAGATCTAAAAATGTCTGGAGCTCAGTAACAGATCCACGTTTTAATAGTAAAAGCGCTTTTGCATGACATCAGGTAAAGCCTATTCATGATTTGATTTTATTTAAAAATAATTGCAGATGCTATTACCTTCTAGGAATTAATCTGAAGATTAGGTTATTTTCCAATGGCTTACGACTGTGTTTGGAAAAAGAATGATGGAATGTGAAAGAGTGGAGTACAGAGTGTTGAAAAACAATCAGGAAGAATTAGCTTATAGGAAGAAAAATACCCTCTTTTCAGACAAGACTAAGTAGGTTTATAAAAGACTGATATGCACACTCTTATTCTTCATTACTAATGTCATAATAAGAAAATGATGTCAAAAAAGTACAGAACAAAAATGTGTCACGAAAGTGTAATAAAATCATGGAACATAAGATTGTCACTACAGTGTGGTTAAAAAAAAAAAGAAATCACATTACATGCTTTGGGGAATATAAATAGTTTTAGAAAAGAAACTGTCAAGTAACGACACTGGATGAGAAAGGATACTGCCAGTCTGTTGACAGTTCATATACAGCGGTAGAGGAGATAGCTTTGCAATTCAATGTGCTATGTCATTTTAGACTGAAAGAGAACATATTGCTTTCTTGATTTTTAATTTATTCCATTCAGGGATGATGGAAATTGAGAACTATTGGAATGGATATACAGGAAGTAGTAAAAGGACAATAGAAACCAGACAGAATTGGGTTTCCAAGTATGGTCCAGTAGTAGTGGAAAATAGCAGTTGCAGAGTGTTCTCTTCCACCCAGTGCTGGTTCTCATAGGTTCGCAGAGCAGCAGGACCTGGGGCGGGGGCACTGTCTGGGTGCCCAGAGTGCCTCCCAACCGGCAGCACAGTACAGGGAGGCGGGGGTGGCCTCCGGGCCTGCGCTGGGCCTGCGCTGGGCGAGCGGGGCGGGCTGCCCGGGCTTGAGGCCTGTGCTGTTGGCTGGCGCTGTTCCCCTACTGTGAAAATGTGCCTGATATTGAAGAGGAACCTGGATAAGAAAACACACTTTTTAAAAAACCCACAAGTGCGTTAAAAAGTTACGCCATACCTGAACATGCAGTGTGGTTCAAGGTCAGAGAAGAGGTTCTTGGAATTGGTCTCCTCCTTACACACTAGTCAGCCATGCTGATTAAATTATTGGTAAAATAGAGGCAGATTATCTGTGTTCAGTAGGTAGTGTACACTCTGAATTAACATAAAATTGTGTGTACGTGAGAGAGAGAAATAAATTTCTTTATTTTCTTTTTCTCTGTGCAGGTTTCAGCAAGCAGATGGTGGAAATTCTTAACAAACATAATATTCAGTTTAGCAGTTTTGACATCTTCTCAGATGAAGAAGTTCGTCAGGGCCTCAAAACCTATTCCAATTGGCCCACCTATCCCCAGCTCTATGTTTCTGGAGAGCTCATAGGAGGACTTGATATAATTAAGGTTAGAATTGAGAAGACCATTGTAAAGAATTTTCATGTTTATTGTTGCTTAGTCGCTAAGTTGTATCTGACTCTTGCGGCCACATGGACTGCAGCTCACCAGGCTTCTCTGTCCATGGGATTTCCTAGGCACGAATACTGGGGTGGGTTGCAGTTTCTTCCTTCAGGGGATCTTACCGACTCTGGGATTGAATTTGTGTCTCTTGCATTGTCAGGCGGGTTCTTTACCACTGAGCCACCAGTTTGGTATTTTCATATTTAAGCATACTTTTATAAGTGCTGTATTAAATCAAAAGTATATATTTTTGTAGAATCTACATTTTTGAATCTGGAATAAATAAAGTATTTCTGATTCACTCCCATGAATTCACTAATAGGTGATTCACTAATATTTTACATAATGGTATGCCCAAGATTTGTTATAATAAATGTATAAATAAAATATATGTTTATTTTAGGAGCTAGAAGCATCTAAAGAACTAGATACGATTTGCCCCAAAGCCCCCAAGTTAGAGGAAAGGTAAGTGTGTTTAAAGTTTCAGTCTGCTATTATTTAAAAAAAAATTTTTGAGTTTTCATTTTTGTATTACTGTTTCTATGTAGAAATCAGAGGTTTGCTATTGTATGCCAAGGTCATAATTGTTACAGACTTAACCATGCAAACTTGGAAAGATCTCATTTGGACTGGAGAAAATTTTGCACCAATTTAATGATTATGTAGAGGATATTCTTGATTTTTGTAGAAATGTCACTGTCACCGTGAAATGACCAGATTTTAGCTCTCTGCAGTTTGGAGCTGGACTCCAGTCTTGGTGTTAGGTTTCAGCTTTCTCTTGTGTCCTGCATTGCGGCCTCGGGCTGGCTGCTGTCTCCATCTTGGTAGAGCTCTGTGAGACGTGTTGAATGTGGAAGGCAGAGGCTGTGCATGGAGGTAGTGTGGAGACACTGGGATTTCTCATTGCTGTTCTTAGGACTGTGGTAACTTAAAATTCAAGAACCTTTTGTTTGGAGCTGTAAAACTGCTGTCTTATGAAGGGTCTCAATTTGCTTTTAAAGATTCTGTCTTATAGAAAGTTTGGGCTTGGGTCTGTAGGATTTTAGTTTTAATAAATGTTAATTGTAATCAATAGTTATAATAAATATTAATGTAGAGGATTAAAAAGCAATTTATTTTGAAATACAGCAGCATATCAACCATTCATAGTTGGCGCTTGAGTTTATAAGGTAAAACTTTCTCTTGTAATTTTCTTCTCATTTAACATTTTAAGATTTCCTGCAAGTGTTCACTTACCTGTTTTGGTTAGTACAGTGCTCCTCATAGTTGGCGTGTGTGCTGAGCTGACCTGGAGGTGCCACGTGCTCTCAGATGGCGGGCACCCTCTATGCCTTCCTGACAGGAAGGTGCGGCTCCAGGCCCCTATGGCACTCTCGTGTCCTGGGCCAGGGTTTGCTCTGTAGCCTGGGTGGCTTAAGGAGGGGTGTGGCCCCAGAAGACTGTCTCCAGACACACTTGTATTTTCTTAGTTTATTTTCCTCTGTGTTGAGTTCACCTTTGCTGTTGTTTGTATCCCTGTTTTCATTAGACCACTCTTTCCTAATGGGCTGTGTTCAGGCACCAGAAGATGACTGGCTAGAATTATATAGAAAGTAATAGTCAGTACATTTTGAGTCATAATTTAAAGGGCTCCTGGAAAGTGCAGTGTCGCAGCCCAAGTTCTTGGCCTTGGCCACGTCTCTGTGATGGGACAGATGGACCTGTTTCGGTTCCCTGGATCCCAGTAGTTGGGGCTCCAGGTGAGTGAGTGGGGGCTTCTGAAAATTGGCTTCCTGTACCATTTGAAAGTGTGTGTGGTGCAGCTTTGTGTATGATTTGTCTACTTCATTTGTGAGACCTTTTTTCTTGGAGGAGATTTGGAGCCGTGAGTGTTCCAGAGCATGTGGAAGGAGGAGAACGCGGTGTGGTGACCACCGCGGGGCCCCTGGTCCTGATGTGGGTGGGTCCTGAGGTCCGCTGTGGACTCCAGGGTGTGTGCAGATGGTCAGCGTTCTGGACAGCAAGCTAGATCAGGAGGTTTGAAAGATGGTATAAAGTTGAGAGGAGAGCATTAGACTTTAGCAAGTGAGGCTGAGCGTGTCTCCCCCCAGGTGGGACCTTGTGGGCATGAAGAGTGTGGGGCTGTGCTGGCCTCATGATGGGAAAGGATACACGTGTCTAGTTCAGGAAATTCCAGGCGGGCTCAGTCTGTATGTCCCTCATTGAGCAATTCCTTACTGAGTTGGTTATTATTTTTTTAGTTCTGTGAGTTGATGGGCTTAAATTTGCAATTTGAAGGCACATTTGTTGCCTTAAAAAGCCATATTGTGTTTTACAGTGGCTTAGGGAGACAGTGAAATAAAGGGAAATGTCAGTGCATTTGCTTGTTTAATACACTCAGTGCTGTGAACTCTCATCCTGCCGTCCCTCAAATGTGCACGGTACCCGTGAAGCGGAGCGAAAGTGGTGTTTAATAATTGAGCTGAGCCCTTTCATATCAATTTTCTCTCTTCAGGCTCAAAGTACTGACAAATAAAGCTTCTGTGATGCTCTTTATGAAAGGAAACAAACAGGTAAAGAACTCAAAAATGGTTTTATTTGTAATTTCTTTTGATGTTAACATCTGCAACAAGGGGACACTTAAATCTTTTTTTCCTAGCTTTAGCTAATGAAGCTGTAGTGGCAGCAGGAAGTTATCCAGGCCTTAATTGGTGCTTATGGAGATCAAACAAAGTGATCTCCATTTTCCTTGACTTTATCATCAGCATCTCAGCGGGGTGTATTTCTTTCTGCTGCCAAACTTTGTCAGCAGATGTGGTCAGCACTGCTAGCACTGGACAGGTTCCGTTAGCTGCTCTCTACTCCCAGAGCGTGCACTTCGGGGCTGGGAACCTCACAGTTCTTGGTTTGCAGCTCTGGACCATGGTCTAAAGTGCTGGCGATGGAGAAAGATGCAGGGCTGCATCTAGGGGGCTCAGAACTTGTTTGATGAATGAGTGGAATGATTTGACAGTGTTTATTTGTGATTCGGTGCTTCTTGTCGCTCCGATGGATGAAAGTTGTGTTGATTGTGCATCATTCTGAATACCAAGTTTGATAGCTCACCCCCACTGATAAGTTGATCAAAACCATCTAACCTGTGTATTTGAATTAGATTGGTGATCTCTAGAAGCCAGCCTCTGTTACCTTCCTTTGTTCTAACCAGGTGCTGAGGTGGGCAGGGCTGGGCAGAGGACAGTAGAACTCTGGAAGGCTGGGCGGAGGCGGTCACGACACTGCCATTCCATCTGCCTCACCTGTCCAGTGGGGTGTGTTGGGCAAGCCACTCGCCCCAGAGCTTCAGTGTCCCCCCCTAGTGGATGGACAGGGTCATTCTGGGAAATTTATATAAGTAGCACAGCTTGTATAACTAGTAAACATAGCTGTTCCAGTGGAAGTAACATTAACTAGGAAGATGTGGTGATATACATTTTACCAGATTGGGGTCACTAGATTAGGACCTAGATTCCTTGAGTGCTTCACTGTATTTATTAAAACAAAGTAGAGGAAGTTAATAATTCCCAGTCACCTTTTTTTTTTTCCTTCTTGGTGGTTATTTAAAGCAGATTTTTATATTTTGTTCCTGGAAGCCCAGGAAGTAATCATGAATTCTGGGAATGGAATTGTGAGTGCTGGTAAGATGTTTACATGGTGCCAAGTCTTCTCTATAGGACTGGGATTTGGGATCCTCTGGCATGAAAAAAAATTGTTAGACTTTTCTATAACCTTAGAAAAGTTTGGTACTCCATAATGTAAACATACGTTTAAAAAGTGGGAGTAGGAAAAGGATGATCCCAACCACTGCAGAAAGGAGGCGTTGCGGCTGTGGGTCTGCGTGAAGTGGAGCAGAGGCAGCAGGGTTTGACTTGGGCGGTTTTTGATCACGAGGTGACAGTGTCAGAACACAGTCATCTCCAGTGCTGACAAGCCCAAGTCAGGCTGGGGGCTGCGCGTCTGGGGTGACGTCTGGATAGGTCCTTCTTGAAGGGGCAGGTTTCATCCTTCCATCGGCTCTGGTACGTGGAGGCCCTGGGAGCTGGCCGTCTTCTGCAGTGCCATCTCCTGGACAGAGCCTCAGATAGGGCTGTGCTTGTGGGCTGTGTGGGCATGTGGTGTACCCTAAAGTTTGTGTTTTTTCCTAAATGTAGGAAGCTAAGTGTGGCTTCAGCAGACAGATTTTGGAAATACTAAATAGTACTGGGTAAGTAAATCTTGTTTTCAGAGGGTGTATTTAAGAAGTTCTAACTTTTCAATTCTGACACTGCTGCTTCTTAGTTGTTGCATCTGTTCATGTATTTTTATGTTTATTTTTGCTGTAGCATTTTGTGAATGCTTTAACTTAGACCACAGTAGAATTTTTTGACCAATGTCAACCTATTGGTAACATAAAGGAGGTATTTTGGCAGCCATTGAAATAACTATTTGTCTACTTTCCCAGAGGAAAATTACTGAGTTCTTAGCATGCATAAAGATATTTTAGGGAAAGTGTATTATATAGGTTTTTAATTTTCTTTAAAAAAACTTTCTAGTTTCCAAGTAGTTTGTGAAACAGGAAGCACAAGAAGATCCGTTATCTGGATCCATTATCTGGATCTGTTATGTAGCAAATTAGATTGTGGTGCTCATGCTTTTGGTCTCAGCGATGAAGCTGCCAGGTAAGAAAACTGAAATTGTCGTCAAACCAGTTATTTAGAGATACTTAACACATGTTCTGTGTTGTCCAGTGTTTTTGCTTATTTTTCTTCTTTGTTACTTCTCAGCTCCTCTTTTCAGTATTGTAAGGATTCTAACTGTAGCTTTAGATAGACTCGCCAACTCTATGATTTGACAGGGAAAGTCACCTTTGAGATGTGTGGGCATTCTTGGGCTGGGTGGAGCAACACAGCCCCAGATGCAGCTTTCGGGATGCAGGAGGAACAGTCGCTCTATTCAGGCGGTTGTGGCACCTCACAGAGGGGAGTCTGGCTGCTGCTGTCCTCTGGCCTCCAGCTGCCGCGCCCTCTCCCCGCCCTGCGCTGCAGGAGAGGCTGGGTCTCCTCTGGTCGCTTCCTTCCCTTTGCCACATCCCCCATGAGTCGCCCTCAGGCCACCTGTCCGTAGCATCGGCCAGTGCCCTGGGGTTCTGGGACCAGGATGGGACAGTTCTGGGCCCATTACAGCCTAAGTATTTGGTGGAAGTCTCCATCACTTACTTTCTGTCCTGTATCTGTCTAAGTCGGATTGGATTGAAAGCACCAGTTCCCCCAGAGCAGGGAGCTTCTTTGGGACAGAGCACCCTCCCGACTCCAGGCTGGCCGAACACCTCCCAGGGTCTGTTAACGTGGAAGACTGATCCTGCTGCACCTGTTGGAATATGGGGGGGTGCTTTTAGTGCTCTATTCCTTTCCTCCATCCTTGCTCTTGTCTGTTCCTTCCATAGGAAAGACATGTGTGCCCTGAGGAGCTGAGCACCCCGGGTGCATTGTGGTGTGGGAGGCGCCCTTTACAGGGGACTTGAGGAGGTGTACTGGCAGCCGTGACTTGGTATACCTGTGTACCTGTAGGCCCAGCACTTCTTAGATCCCTTATATCAGTGGGAAGTTCCAGAACTCAGGATTTTTATGATATTGTGTCAATTAGGACATCTGCCTCTTTAGTTCAACTTGAAGGGAGGCTTACACTGTGTGGTTCTGTTTTTCTTTTTTTAGTCTTTTTTGCTCTTCTTCCAAATACTACTTTCTTGATGCTTGTTGATTTATCCTGTCAAGTTCTTTTTTTGACTCCTTGCATTATGGACCATTTTCTTTGGAACTTGTGTATTAAGTAAACAGGATTTCCCTATGAAAATGGCTTTGGTTTTATGGAAAACAAAATTCTTTTTTTCATATGTGGCATTTTCTTTGGCCAGGTTTTGACATTGCACATATACTCACAGTCTTCCTGCAGGGATCCAGTCACACATGCTTACTAATTCCTTGACTACCTTGTAATGAAATCCTCCTGAGTAGATGTGGTTGAATTTTCACTCATTTATACAAGTAGCGTTCATTACAGGCATAAAGCCACAACCCTTTCACTGGTTGCATGTGTCGTGGAAATAGCATGTGTGTTCTAAAGTAAGTCATGCTCTGTGGAAGGCTCATTTCCAGAGGGCGAGCGGGTGGGGGTGTGTTCCCCAGCTGGTGAGCTCTCAGCCTCCATCCCTGGGCACTGCTGGACTGTTCCGTCCTCCTGAAGCAGAGAAAATCCAGAAAAATTTGTATCTTGGGATGACCTATTCTGTCAAGTACAAGACAGATAAAGAAGTAAAATAATTTGTTTTCCCCCAAATTTTGTTAGCAACAAAACAGTTTTACTTTTCTTGACTGTTTTTAAAACACCAAATAGAGTTTATAATTTTTGTCTAAAACTGTATTTCTTGTTAAAATGTTTTCTCCTTTTTGTAGGATTGAATATGAGACATTTGATATATTGGAGGATGAAGAAGTAAGTTCTGTGTTTTAGGTTTTGTCTTTTGTCTTAGTTTTAACCATTAGGATTGTCATTTATTCTAACCTGATAGGATGATTTCAGGGTTCCTGTTGTTTCTGTAGGTTCGGCAAGGATTAAAAGCTTACTCCAATTGGCCAACGTACCCTCAGCTGTATGTGAAGGGGGAGCTTGTCGGAGGACTGGACATTGTTAAGGTGAGGTCAGGAATCACTGGGAGCCTGGAGGAATGAAAGCCTGAGCGTGTATGAAAACTGTCGTTTCACTGGACTTGTCCTTGGTGTCCTTTTCTGGCCTTGTGTCTGATTGCTCCAGCCCGGAGCTACCATCTCTCCGCCAAGAATATCTTGTCTCTTACCTCTAACCTGAGCCAGTCAGAATCAGCCCCTCGCTGTATGGCCTCTCCTACCCACTAGGTCCTTTGCTCTGGCTCTGAGGAGCTGCCAGCCAGGGTCCGCAGAGAGACTCGGTGCTCAGAGCAGCTCTGGGTGTGGTCAGGCTCCAACCCTGATTCACTCGCACTGTACTGTTCTTCCATGTTTTAGCTTCTTTCCCCACTGTCTCTACTTTGAATTTCCTTGCGTAGTCCATATCTGTATCCTTCAGGCTCCTCTTGTCTGTGAATCTTAAGTTTTTCAGCCAAAAATGATCGCTTTGCATCTGCTTCTGAAGTTCTCCTGCCCTGTTACATTTATATTGCTATAATTATATTACTTTCTGGTGTCATTTCAGTTGCCTTACTCACATGTACTCGGTGATGGAGTAAAGAGTGCTGGGCTAAGGGCCGGGGGCCTGGGACACAGTGCTGGCCTGGCCCTGCTAGCTGTGCCACTGAGGCCTGAGGACCTCAGGACTGGGTGAGGTCATCTCCAGGTCCCCCACTCGTTCTCAGATGCTGGGAAACTGGAGACCTCTGTCAGGTTGTCAGTGTATTTCAAGGACTCTGTTTCTTCTGCGTGTTTGATGATGGATTTTCTAGTTGGGCTGGCTTTCAGTTCAGTTGCTTAGTTGTGTCTGACTCTTAGCGACCCCATGGACTGCAGCACACCATGCTTCCTGTTCATCACCAACTCTCAGAGCTTGCCCAAACTCATGTCCATTGAGTCAGTGATGCCATCCAACCATCTCATCCTCTGTCGTCCTCTTCTCCTCCCGCCTTCAATCTTTCCCAGCATCAGGGTCTTTTCCAAGGGGTCAGTTCTTCGCATCAGGTGGCCAAAGTATTGGAGTTTCAGCTTCAGCATCAGTCCTTCCAATGAATATTCAGGACTGGTTTCCTTTAAGATTGACTGGTTTGATCTCCTTGCAGTCCAGGGGACTCTAAAGGATCTTCTGTAACAACACAGTTCAAAAGTATCAATTCTTTGGCACTCAGCTATCTTTATAGTCCAACTGTCATATCCATACACAACAACTGGAAAAACCATAGCTTTGAGTAGATGGATCTTTGTCGGCAAAGTAACATCTCTTTTTACTATGCTGTCTATGTTGGTCATAGCTTTTCTTCCAGGGAGCAAAGCATCTTTTAATTTCATGACTGCAGTCACCATCCGCAAAATGATTTTGGAGCCCAAGAAAAGAAAATCTGTCACTGTTTCCATTGTTTCTCCATCTGTTTGCCATGCAGTGATGGGACTGGATGCCATCATCTTAGTTTTTTGAATGTTGAGTTTTAAGCCAGCCTTTTCACTCTCCTCTTTGACTTTCATCAAGAGGCTCTTTAGTTCCTCTTCACTGTCTGCCATATTGGTGGTGTCATCTGCGTATCTGAGGTTATTGATATTTCTTCCTGCAATCTTGATTCCAGCTTGTGCTTCACCAGCCTGGCATTTTTCATGATGTACTCTGCATAGAAGTTAAATAAGCAGGGTGACAATAGACAGCCTTGAGAAGTACTCCTTTCTCAATTTTGAACCAGTACATTGTTCCATGTCTGGTTCTAACTTTGCTTCTTGACCTGCATACAGATTTTTCAGGAGGCAGGTCAGGTGGTCTGGTATTCCCATCTCTTGATGAATTTCCCACAGTTTGTTGTAATCTAATCTACACAGTCAAAGACTTAATGTAATCAATAAAGCAGAAGTAGATGTTTTTCTGGAATTCTCTTGCTTTTTCTATGACCCAACGGATGTTGGCAATTTGATCTCTTGATTCCTCTTCCTTTTCTACATCCAGCTTGAACATCTGGAAGTTCATGGTTCACGTATTGTTGAAGCCTGACTTGGAGCATTTTGCGCATTACTCTGCTAGCGTGTGAGATGAGTGCAGTTGTGTGGTAGTTTGAGCATTCTTTGGCATTGCCTTTCTTTGGGATTGGAATGAAAATTGGTCTTTTCCAGTCCTGTGGCCACTGCAGAGTTTTCCAAATTTGCTGGCATATTGAGTGCAGCACTTTCACAGCAGCATCTTTTAGGATTTGAAATAGCTCAACTGGAACTCCATCACCTCCACTAGCTTTGTTTGTTGTGATGCTTCCTAAGGCCCATTTGACTTCACATTCTAGGATGTTTGGCTCTAGGTGAGTGATCACACCATCGTGGTTATCTGGATCATTAAGATCTTGTTTGTACAGTTCTTTTGTGTATTCTTGCCACCTCTTCTTAATATCTTTTGCTTCTGTTAGATACTGGCTTTAAGTAAATTCTAAGTGAATTTTAAACAGACATGACTTTGCTTGTAGGATTTCAAATCCAGAACCTAGGGCCCCCCACCTGGTAGCACCCATGTGTCTGGAGCTCTCTTCAGCAGCCCAGGACAACAGGGGGCAGCTGCAGCTTTAACATCCTCGAAGCCTCTCTGGAGCCCGCCCCACCCTGGCGTCACAGCGATGGGGGATGGTGGCAGTGGTGGGCGCAGGAAGGCCTGGGCAGCAGTGAGGGCTCAGCTGCAGGAGTGCCAGCCTTCATGGAAGGCGGTGAGTGGAGCTGCCCGGGCTCAGGCCCTCCTTGGCCTTGCCAGTTAGGGGATTTTATCTGAGGTCAGGTCCTTGATGTTTTAAGTGGAACGCAAGTAGTAAGTGCTGCTGCCTCTGGTTGTCTTATAACCTGCTGCCTGGCTGCTGATGCCTCTGTAAGTTTTTGACTTGTTGCCGTCATCCCATGAAAGAGCTCTGGCCCAGCCCTGGGGGCTTTCAGCACTGAGTGCCGGCAGGTTTTCCAAGTCTCAGGGCTGCGATCCTGCGGTTTCATTGCCCAGGTTTTGTCTCCTGCTGAGTTCCAGGTTTGATGTCACACTTCTTGAGGAAGTCAGTGAATCACTTCCCCAGTAAACTCTCATTCCTGGAGGGAAGACAACGTCTAACATAGTAGCCGTGAACAGCCCTGAGGCAGCAAAACCCGGTCTGCATTTGTTGTCCTGTATCTGTTTGTGTTTGTGTGAGACAGGCAGTGTTCAGAGCCCAGACACTCCCGAGCCTGCTCTTGTCTGAAGGTTTACGGCCTGTCCTCAGCCACTGCGGCCCTGGGCGAGAGGCAGGCAAGACGTCTCTTTGCACTCTGAGGCTGAGCTGCGTGGGCAGCTTCATTTTAGGTGTGTGACCGTGTGTGTTACATGACTTCTTGTGTTCTCCTGCTAAGAACTCACACGTCTGGAAGCTTGTGGTATTGGTAACAGTGTTCTGTGAGAAGATAACGGGTTTGATGTTATGTGCTGTGTTGGTCTCTTCTGGCAGAAGGCAGTGCTTCATCTTTATGTCAGTTAAAGTCTTAGCTGTGTTGCTGACGGCTCACCCCTGGCTTCCTCAGCAGGAGCCACGAGTGCTGGTTTGGTGGAATGGGTGATGAGTGAATGGATTGTGTGGTGACCGGGTGACTGCCAGGCTGATGTCTGGATAAAAATGTCGACAGGTTAGTGTGGATGCAGAGAGGTAACATTAGTGGCTCCGCAGCACTGCAGAGTTTGGGACGCAGAATCAGCTGAGAGTCAGGTGCTTCCGTACATCACTGCCTGTCACCCTCCCTGCAGGCGAGGAAACAGGGAAGTTAGGGGAGTGGTGTGCCCGCTCCTGGCCAGGGAGCTGTTGGGTCCCGGTCCCACGTCAGGCCCGCCTACCCACCCACCCATCGAGCTGCGTGGCTGGCTGCCTCCGAGTCGTGTGCTCCGAGGTCGTGCATGGCTTCTTGATGTCGCCAGATGTCTGCTTGTTAAATGGGTACAAGATCCCAAGAACTGCTTGTCTGGGTTTAATCCAGAGAGAGTGCCAGTGGGTTTTAGTGGTTTTATTGATTGATGTTCATGAAGCTTAAGAATAACCTGAAATGTCCTGTCAAATTGTTTATTTTAGACTAGAAAATCTTATTTATCCTCCACCGTCACATTTTAAACTTGATGGCTGTGTTCCAATTTTAGATCTGAAAGATAGGCACAAACCCTTTGTGAATACTTCAGCTTTTTAATGGTTTCCAGCCTTTGTATTTACATACCAGTGCCTGGCTTTTCCAGGTTGCGTTGAAACCATGAAGCCTCTTTACTACCTGTAGGGCAGCAGGTGTCATGCGCATTGTATCTGAGTAGACCTGATGTTTTCAATCACTTAAAAGTTCATTCTCCCTGTTAATTGCTGTTGTTTAAATAGGAAGCTTCACTGTTTTGCTCCAATTGCTGTGTTTGCTAATGCTGAAAAATCTGTGGGTTTTCGAACATCTTTTAACGCTAATTTTGTAATGTGATAGTGTGCCAGTTTTTATGGTGGCGCCCTTAGTTTGAGTGTGCTGGGGGACTGGAGTTTGCATCCAGTGAGGTGTTTCTTTGGGTTCTCTGATAGAGATGCCATCTGCCATTGTATAGATGTTTTTATTTTCTATATATACGTATGCATGATACTGTTTCCTTCTTTATTTTTAGGAACTGAAAGAAAATGGGGAGTTGCTGCCTATACTGAAAGGAGAAAATTAATGAACGTTAGACTTGGTGCCCACCCACTGCAGGAAGGCTTCCTCCAGCGGAGCAGTTCAGGATTTAGTCCTCAGAAACGGACTAGAAGGAGAAAATGCTCATCCCCAGTTACGCTTTGTGTATTTCACAAGGCTGTGCTAAATAACGTATGTGACCTTTTTTTCCACCAAAAATAGAACGCAATAAACATCTTCAAGTTCAATTAAAACTAATTGTGTAAAAAAGTGTGTCTTTATAGTGATGCTAGGTGTGTAGTTGCTGTAACTACCCCACTTTTCGTCTCTTCTTCATCATCTGTGGGCATCTTGCAGTTAAGAAATAGACAGTCTTCAGAGAGTGGGAACTTGGGCATCTGCGCCACACCAGCACTTAGAGCCACTCGCAGACCAAACCAATGGCTCCCCTCACTGGCCGAAGACCTTTTTACAGCTCAGAAAATTCTGCTGCAGGCCTTTTTCTGAGCATCACTGAGCTGGGCCCTGCTGAAATGGCTGTGTCCGTGTCGGCGTCTGCAGATTCAGGAGCTGTGCCAGCCCCAGCAACGCAGTAGCTGGGAGCCTCCCAGGACGCAGGCTTCTCAGTGGGGTGTTAGCAGGCTTCTTTCATAACTTGTCCAAGGACAGGCAGCCTGGCAGAGAGCAGGATGGTGGCGTGGGTTTGTGTTACGCATCACGACTTACTCTAATCTTCGCACTAAAAGTACTGATTTAGTCCTTAAATAGGTTGAGAACATCCAGAAGTCCATGAACATTTCAGTAGTATTTTTGATTCTAACATACTGAATTTTGAATCTAACATACTGAGAAAACAGCTGCTCCTTTAGGTCTCTGCCAGGCATGTGTTAAAACAGAAGGCTGAGTCCATTGCGATGTTCTTAGACTCTGTTGGTACCTGAGGCACATGTTATCCTCATGGAGTTTTCCCTGCCTGTTGAGCTGGGTGGCTGAGGCTCCAGAAGATTGGTGTTGGTCAGGAAAGGGGCGCAGTAGCCAGCAGTTGAGGTAGGCGAGACGGGAGGAAACGCAGGCAGTTCCAGCACAGGTAAGCCTTGGCTCACCAGGGCGCTGGCATTTCCCACCTCATGCGACAGGCCATCTCGCTGCTGTTCCTCGTGCAGAGAGGAGAGACGTGCCCGTGTGAGTTACACGTGGCCTTGCTTCCTGCCACGAGAACGACACGCCTCATGGTTCAGTGTCTTCTTGCCAGTGTGTATACTTCGATGCAGCTCTTTTGGGCATTAGTTTATGAACTACGTTTTTCCGCTTTGAAAGTAACTGTATAAGCAAAACCTCTAAAATGCAGATGGAAATGGATTTTGACTGAAATTTTATTATGCCGTCGGCTCCAGGGATGTGCGTGACTCATGGAGGAGCCCTGATTTCCTTTATCCCAAACCATCTAAACCGCATACCACTTTTGTGACTTCTGCACTCTCCACGGGTGCTGTCTGCCCTGTTGTATTTTCTACTAGGTCAGGTTTTAACCTCACTGTATCCCAAGCAACAGTATCTGCTGTCACAGCAACATGAAAAGATCTTTTTTTTTCCCCTCTTGCATATTCTAATAAAATGCATAACTTTTAGCAAGAATTCTGCCCTCCAATTAGGGAGCCACCTTCTGCTCAAGAGGCGTTAACTCTGATCACGTAAGACGCCACGTGCGGTCCGGGACAGACTCCCTTCAGGGGACTCGAGTGCGATGAAGAGCTCTGGCAGTACCGTCCTTGGCTGAGCATCCGGTTTGAGTTGGGAGAGTTTTTGGGGAGCTGTCCCTGTGCTTAACATGAGGTTGACCTCTTAAGCCCTGTTAGTTGTTGGCTCCGTTGGCTCCAGATATGTTGGAGTAACAGTGGACCAGATTTCCATCTTGCAGGTGTTTCCAGCGAGACGTCAGGAAGTCCACAAGACCTTCGTGCAAACCGATAGCATTCCTCGCTGACTTTCTGGATGTATTTTAGGAGTAAGGCAGGTGAGTCCTGTGCCCAGTGGAACTTCACCTTCCATAGGTTGACCCCGATGAGACTTCCTAACAGTCGAGCCTGCCCTAGTCATCACCTTTTGTCAGAGTTGTTATCTTCTCTTTGGAGGCAAAGTAGTTCCCAGCATCCAAGAGATCTCAGTGGGGGAGGCAACAGGTGTCATCCAGATGCTACCTGAGGCCGAGCTCTGTTGGGAGCAGGCTGCGGCCCAGTGCTGTGTGGGGGCTCTAGTGAGGTCAGGAACTTGGGGAGCAGGCGTGCGTGTGGATAGAAAGGCTGAGCATCACTGCTGTCCGCCAGGGAGCACGGCCTCCGCACGGCTCCCTGTGCTTGAGTTCACTTGGGAGTTCAGGGAGGCCTGCTGGGCCGAGAGCGCATGCTGGGCTGGGCCCGGGAGCAGCGGGTCACCGCGTGCGTGTGAGGCCGCTGGCAGCGCCTGCTGCCAGGACTTCGTCTCTGGGTCTCTGGACCCTGGGGAAGCAAACCTCCCATTGTCTGGGTTGCCCTTCCGGGAACCAGGAGGGCTCACTGGGGGAGGGCAGGCAGCTCCGCTCGACCATGTGTCCTTCCCTGAGGCAGCCTCCTGTTGCGGGTTCCTGGGGGATCGGTAGCCACTTGGGGAAACAGCTTGCAGGAATGGACTTAAAAAATCCCAATAGAACCACTTTGATTTTACTTTTAAGCAGACATAGGAAAAAAAAAGTGAAACCAATGAAAGGAGTTAGGAATTCAGGTAAGGAACTCGGGGAACTATGAGACTCATTAGCTGCAGGACCCAGTGCAGGGTTGGGCTTTTTTGTGTGACTCCAGGATTGTATGACTCCTGAGACTTGTTGCTCGCCCCTTCCGTGAGGCCACCCCACCCACCAAGGTGGATGGAATCAGACTGCCTTTCTGCCCGTGATGAGAAGTGCGGGGTGGCCGGCCAGCATGCTCCGCTCTGGCTGGCCCTCTCTTCAGCATCAGGGAAGCAGTTCATCCCACCTCCTCCTCCATCACTGTCACTCCTGTAGTCCAAGGACTGACCTGAAGAAGGCTGTAGGCAAATGTGTTGAAGCTTGCTCTGATAATGTCAGTGGTCCTTGGACGATTAAAGGACAGGGAGTGACCTTGCCCTGGTGGTGATGGAGCCCTCGTGTCAATTCTGGGTCACTGGGGCAGCCATGCTGTTCTTGGGTCCCGCCCATCTTGACTGATGGAAAACTTGCTCAAGAAGGAAGAAGAATTATTCTCCATTTTCAGACACCTACTGATGAGTTTGAAATAGGGACCGATTTTTTAAAAAGCACATTTTTATAATTAGAAAATCTCATTTTTTTAAAAAAAAAACACAACTTTCCAGTCATGTAGAGAAGTTACAGTCAGTTCAGTTGCTCAGTCATGTCCAACCTTTTGTGACCCCATGGAATGTAGCACGCCAGGCCTCCCTGTCCATCACCAACTCCCGGAGTTTGCTCAAACCCATGTCCATCGAGTTGGTGATGCCATCCAGCCATCTCATCCTCTGTCGTCCCCTTCTACCTTCAGTGTTTCTCAGCATCAGGGTCTTTTCAAATGAGTCAGTTCTACACAACAGATGGCCAAAGTATTGGAGCTTCAGCTTCAGCATCAGTCTTTCCAATGAATATTCAGGACTGATTTCCTTTAGGATTGACCGGTTTGATCTCCTTGCAGTCCAAAGGACTCTCAAGAATCTTCTCCAACACCACAGTTCAAAAGCATCAATTCTTCAGCACTCAGATTTATTTATGGTCCAACTCTCACATCCATACATGACAATTGGAAAAATCATAGCTTTGACTAGACGGACCTTTGTTGGCAAACAATGTCTCTGCTTTTTAATATGCTTCCTAGGTTGGTCGTAGTTTTTCTTCCAAGGATCAAGCGTCTTTTAATTTCATGGCTGCAGTCACCATCTGCAGTGATTTTGGAACGCAAGAAAGTCTGTCATTGCTTCCACTATTTCCCCATCTACTTCCCATGAAGTGATGGGACTGGATGCCATGATCTTAGTTTTCTGAATGTTGAGTTTTAAGCCAGCTTTTTCACTCTCCTCTTTCACTTTCATCAAGAGGCTCTTTAGTTATTCTTCACTTTCTGCCGTAAGGGTGGTGTCATCTGCATATCTGAGGTTATTGGTATTTCTCCCAGCAATCTTGATTCCAGCTTGTGCTTCCTCCAGCCCAGCATTTCTCATGATGTACTCTGCATATAAGTTAAATAAGCAGGGTGACAATATACAGCCTTGATGTACTCCTTTTCCTATTTGGAACCAGTCTATTGTTCCATGTCCAGTTCTAACTGTTTCTTCTTGACCTGCATAGAGATATCTCAAGAGGCAGGTTGGGTGGTCTGGTATTCCCATCTCTTGAAGAATTTCCCACAGTTTGTTGTGATCTACAGTCAAAGGCTTTGCATAGTCAGTGAAGCAGAAGTAGATGTTTTTCTGGAACTCTCTTGCTTTTTCAATGATCCAGTGGATGTTGGCAATTTGATTTCCGTTTCCTTTGCCTTTTCTAAATCCAGCTTGAACATCTGGAAGTTCATGGTTCACATACTGTTGAAGCCTATCTTGGAGAATTTTGAGCATTTCTTTGCTAGTGTGTGAGATGAGTGCAATTGTGTGGTAGTTTGAACGGTCTTTGGCATTGCCTTTCTTTGGGACTGGAATGAAAACTGACCTTTTCCAGTCCTGTGGCCATTGCTCAGTTTTCCAAATTTGCTGGCATATTGATTGCAGCATTTTCACTGCATCATCTTTTAGGATTTGAAATAATTCAACTGGAATTCCATCACCTCCACTAGCTTTGTTTGTAGTGATGCTTCCTAAGGCCCGCTTGACTTCACATTCCAGGATGTCTGACTCTAGGTGAGTGATCACACCATCGTGGTTACCTGGGTCATTAAGATCTTTTTTTGTATAGTTCTGTGTATTCCTGCCACCTCTTAATATCTTCTGCTTCTGTTAGGTTAAACTTCTGCAGAGAAGTTCAGTTGACCTCAGAACCAGCTGTAAAGCATTTAAAGCACTTGACACAGGTGATCATTACCTGCCTCATTGGAAGGAATTACAGAAATAAGACCTATCCCGTGGCCAAATCAGAAGTTCAAAGCTTAAGACTGAAATATGAAACATGATTTCTGGCTTAATTTTTAATGAAAGTCAGTTTTCTTAAACTTGACAATAGATACATGTTACCAAAATTCGAACATTTTTCCCCCTGAAGGTGAAAGTGTTGACTCTTTGAGACCCCATGCAACCCACCAGGTTCCTCTCTCCGTGGGATTCTCCAGGCAAGAATACTGGAGTGGGTTGCCATTCCCTTCCCCAAGGGGTCTTCCCTTCCCAGGGATTGAACCTGGATCTTCTGCATTGCAGGCACATTCTCTATCATCTGAGCCACCTTACAGATAAATTCATTTTTTATACCACATTTCAGATGGTGAGTTGGAATGGATACAGAAGTTGTTGCCTCATTCACCAAAATGGGTAATTTCAAAGACAGGGTTTTATAGTTCGTAGCCACACACAGGTTTCAGAACTCCAGGGCCCTTTTCATAGAGGTTTGTCCGATATCTACAGATGTTCAGATCCGGAAGATGTGAGTTCAGCTGGTTTCAGCTCAGTCGGGCCACAGCAGGGAGGGTGTGTGTTGGGCCTTGCCGGGCTCGCCACGCGCCGGCTCAGCTGAGACCTCAGCATCCTCTGGGGACGACTTCAGGGTGTCTAAGTCACTCTGCAGGGGTCCGGGGCTGGCAGCAGGGTCTGAACCAGGAAGACGCTGACTCCAGCCCTGGGAACTGTGCTTTGGACATCTTGACACGACAGCTTCAGCCGGAGGTCTTGGGCTTCCAATATGACAGGACTTTACATCCGTCAAGAGTACTGTGGATTTTAAAATTAGGTGCCAGGACTCAGCACTTAGGACCAAAAGGGCCTCTCCTGTGCTCCCCCACCTTCATCTAAATGGATACCATTTGTAGATAATTTTTAATCATCTAAAACAACACATTTTGTGTGAGCAAATTACAGGTTTCCCATAGAATCCCTGGAGGTCAGAAAGGCTGACAGGGTTCCTGGTCACATGTGGCTCTTAGAACGCCATTGCCTTCTTTCTGTGTACAAAGCAAGTCGTGGTCTGAGTGGAAAGCATGGCCTCGGGGCTGTGGGGTCATAGGTGTAACACGCTCCCCTGCACTTGCTCTGAGTCTTGAGGGCGTCCTGTGCACGGGGCACTGGGATTCTATGCTGTGTATGGACGGGGGATAGGGGACATGTATGAATGCATGTCGTGGGTACCTCCTGTCCACACACACACACCCTTGTCCCGTAGGACTTCAGTTCAGTTGCTCAGTCGTGTCCGACTCTTTGCAACCCCATGAATCACAGCACGCCAGGCCTTCCTGTCCATCACCAACTCCTGGAGTTTATACAAACTCATGTCCATTGAGTCGGTGATGCCATCCAACCATCTCATCCTGTCGTCCCCTTCTCCTCCCTTCAATCTTTCCCAGCATCAGGGTCTTTTCCAGTGAGTCAGCTCTTCGCATCAGGTGACCAAAGTATTGGAGTTTCAGCTTCAGCATCAGTCCTTCCAATGAATATTTGGGACTTATTTCCTTTAGGATGGACTGGTTGGATCTCCTTGCAGTCCAAGGGACTCTCAAGAGTCTTCTCCAACACCACAGTTCAAAAGCATCAATTCTTTGGTGCTCAGCTTTCATAACGAAAGTCTGACTCTCACATCCATACATGACTACTGGCTATACATACAGGAATATAGTCCAACTCTCACATCCACACAGGACTTCACTTAGCAAACCCAAGTCCAAAGGTACAGTGATGATGAATTTCAAGGTGACAGGGGAGTGTTGAACAGCCTGGGTTCCCTGAGGGCAGGCCTGCCAGGGGTCCTGAACAGGCCAAAGAAGCCTTGGGGGTGTGTTCTGTGGGGGCATCAGTGTTATTCCCTAGGGATCCTGTTAAAGCACCACTTGGAGTAACCACCGGCCTCCTGAGTCTTCTCTTTGAACTTGACTGAAACTGTTTCCCAGGGAAACACACATCACCCTCAACCTGGTCACTGGGTCCTGGCTCCTGGCTCAGCGTGCATCCCTGAGTTAGTGACGTGGTGTAACGACAGCTAGCCCCCGCCTATCTGGTGCTAATGACGTGTCAAGTCCTGTCCTACATATTTGATGCCATGAATCACTTCTCACAATGACCCTGTGAGGTGGGCATCATCAACCCCATGTTATACTTGGGGACGCTGAGCACAGAGAAGGTAAGCCTTCTGCTCCAGGTCACGCAGTGCCCAGGGGGCTGGTGTTTGGCCCTGGGTCACCTGGCCCCAGAGCTTGTCCCGCACAGAGCAGAGTCACCGACTCAGCTCCTTCCCTGGGGCCGCAGAGGGAGGCCATTTACGTCCCCTGGTGTCTGGGGGTGCTGAGCACAGGGCACAGTGCTGCCCTAACGGGGCGGAGAGCGGGCGCGGGGTGGGGGTGGGGGTGGGGAGAAGAGCCCCTGTGGATCACCGGGGCTGCCCCCTGCTGAAGGCCAGCCTGCGGGAAGCCTGGTGCTTCTAGTGTAGGAACTGCTGAGGACTTGGCACAATGGGTGTCGTTTCTGTCGTGGGGGGAACAGGTGCAGAAATTTGCTGAAGTCACCCTGTAAGGGGGTGGTTGAGCTCCCAGGCCCTGCACCTCCGGAGCGCAGCGCGGGGTCATCACCAGCAAGCGCTGGGCTCAGGCTGGGGAGCCGGCCAGTAGCCCCTTGGCTCCCTAAGTGGCTGCAGTCAGCAAGGCCCCCTCTCTGCGCGGGATGAGCCCCTCGCTGCCCAGTGGGCCTGGCCGGGTGTTGTCACCCTGGGGCAGCCTGGGGAGCAAGGTTCCCGCCCTCTGTGCAAACACCAAAGTGCTAAATCTGGGGAACGCAGAGATAGCCTGTGTGTTCTCCCAACCTAACACACACACCCAGCCAGTGACCCGGAGGCCCGCCCTTGAATTAGCCCTTGGAGAGCTGCCCGGGTCGTGGCAGATCGCCCCGCCCGGCCGCCCCTCTCTCCCACACTGTTTCCCTGGCCATCCCCGAGGGCTGGTGCCCAGACTTGTGCAGGCCCTGCCCATCCTGCCCCGGACAGGGACAGGTGTGCGCCCTGGGGGGCGCACCGGCGAAGGGGCGCGTGGCGCACGTGCGCGGGGGGGGGGGGGAGGCGGGGCTGCGCACACCACTTTCTGGAGGGCTCGACCCCAGTGCACCCCGTTCTGGAGAGGTCAACCCCAGGCGCTCCCTGCCTCTGGAGAGGTAAGTCCCGGTGCGCCCTGCCTTCTGGAAGGGCTGGCCTGGGCGCGTCCGTGCTGGCGTGGGTTGGTGGATGGGTGTGGGGTCTCCTCTCCCCTGGGGACGCGCAGCCCCTGGCCGGGGTCGGGGGCGCACTGCCCAGGAGGACGCGCGCAGAATCCGGCCCTGTAACCAGAGGTCGGAACGCGTGGCCAGCCCCGCCTGGCTGGGGCGGGTCCCTGCCCCCGGACCCCCGTCCCCCGGCCCGTGTGCCGCGCTCGTAGCTCTACAGGGACGGCAGGCGACACCCAGGGCCCCGCGTGACGCCCGGGCGGCCTCGGGGGGGACCAGGCCGGGGCACTGACGGTCACAGGCGCCAGGAGGTCCTCCAGGGGCTCTCACGCGTCCGTTCTGCCGCCTGCAGAACAGCCCAGGCTGGCGCGCTCGCTCTCCGGCCGCTCCCGTATCGCAGGGGTCCGCGCGGGCTCAGCGGCCGGTGGACCGGGGGAGTGGCATCCACGTGGGCGGCGGCCCTCCGCGCGGGCGGGGGCGGCGCGTGTCCACGCGGGGGCGCTGCTCTCCGCGCTCGGGGCTGGCGCGCGCCGCCCACAGGGCCGGCCGCCGAGCGCCAGGGGGCGCGCGAGGACCGAGGCGCGCGCGGGAGCGGGTCCCGGAGCGCGCGCCGGGCCGTGTGCGCACGCGCGCTCTGGGGTTGGCGGGGAGGCACCGGAAGCCGGAGATTCTCGCGAGGGCACCTCGCGCGCGGTTGTGCCGGTGTCTGTCGTCGGCGTTGCCTCTCTTCAGGCTTCCGCCCTGGGCCCGACCGTGGGCCTCATTTCCAGGCCGGCACAGGGAGGCCGCGGTGCTCAGGGACGGCGACTCCCCAGCCCCGCTGCCCCTTCGGCCCTCGGGGGTCCCCGGGGACCTGAGCCCTCGGAGGCCTCTGTGGCTCGGGCGCCAGTGTCTGGGGAGCAGGGCGCCCTCACAGGGCGGCACCCGAGACCTCCGTCCTGGGGGGTCCTTGGGCGTCCCGGGGTCTGCGCCTCTGCGGGGGAGGGACCCTGCGACCCCTCCTTGCCCGGCTGGCCGCGGGGAGCCCCAGCCGGCAACCTCACAGCCCGCCCAGTTTATGCGGACAGCTGTTGGGGGTGGGGCGTCGAGCCCCGCTTGCTCTTGGGCGCCTCGCGGCTGGAAACCCGCACGCGCCTCCCCGGTGCGCACAGGTGACCGGCGCCTGTGCTGCAGCACGCAAGGACAGGCCTGCCCGGCCTCAGCTCACACAGGCCTCCGGCCCCTTTGGGTCAGCTTCCCCCGCTCTGAGTCTTGTGTTTTAGCCTCAGAAGACCTTCCCTGTCCTACAAAGGGGGAGCTGAGGGACCTAGGGGGACAGTTGGGACCATCAGGGGTTAGTTGTTGTTTTTAAAAATTTATTTAAATTAATTATTTAATTAATAGACTTTTGATTTTTTTAGACTAGTTTTAGATTTACAGAAAACGGGCGCAAAGTTCAGAGGGTTCCATATCCCTGTCACCACCCTGCTTCCTGTGTTACTAGTGTTTTACACCAGTAGGGATGATTTGCTGTAGTTAATGAACCAATATTGATACATTATTGTCAGATAGAAGTTCATACCTCTTTCATATTTTCTAATGGTATGGACCTAACAGAAGCAGAAGATAAGAAGAGGTGGCAAGAATACACAGAACTGTACAAAAGAGATCCTAATGACTCAGATAACCACCATGGTGTGATCACTCACCTAGAGCCAGACGTCCTGGAATGTGAAGCCAAGTGGGCCTTAGTAACCATCACTACAAACAAAGCTAGTGGAGGTGATGGAACTCCAGCTGAACTATTTCAAGTCCTAAAAGATGGTGCTGTGAAAGTGCCTCACTCAATATGCCAGCAAATTTGGAGAACTCTGTAGTGGCCACAGGACTGGAAAAGGTCAGTTTTCATTCCAATCTCAAAGAAAGGCAATGCCAAAGAATGCTCAAACTGCCACACAATTGGCAGTCATCTCATACACTAGCAAAGGAATGCTCAAAATTCTCCAAGCCAAGCTTCAACAGTATGTGAACTGAGAAATTCCAGATGTTCAAGCTGAATTTAGAAAAGGCAGAGGAACCAGAGATCAAATTGACAAATTCTGTTCGATCATCAAAAAAGCAAGAGAATTCCAGAAAACATCTACTTTTGCTTCATTGACTACACCAAAGCCTTTGACTGTGTGGATCACAACAAACTGGAAAATTCTTCAAGAGATGGGAATACCAGACCACCTGACCCACCTCCTGAGAAATCTGTAGGCTGGTCAAGAAACAACAGCTACAACTGGACATGGAATAATGGAGTGGTTCCAGAATGGGAAAGGAGTATCTTAAGGCTGTATATTGTCACCCTGCTTATTTAACTTATATGCAGAGTCAGTTCAGTTCAGTCGTTCAGTCATGTCCGACTCTTTGTGACCCTATGAACTGCAGCACGCTGGGCCTCCTTGTCCATCACCAACTCCCGGAGTTCACCCAAACCCATCTCCATCTAGTCGATGATGCCATCCAACCATCTCATCCTCTGTCGTCCCCTTCTCCTCCTGCCTTCAATCTTGCCCAGCATCAGGGTCTTTTCCAATGAGTCAGCTCTTCGCATCAGGTGGCCAAAGTATTGGAGTTTCCCCTTCAAAATCAGTCCTACCAATGAACACCCAGGACTGATCTCCCTTAGGATGGACTGGTTGGATCTCCTTGCAGTCCAAGGGACTCTCAAGAGTCTTCTCCAACACCACAGTTCAAAAGCATCAATTCTTCAGTGCTCAGCTTTCTTTATAGTCCAACTCTCACATCCATACATGACCACTGGAAAAACCATAGCCTTGGCTAGGTGGACCTTTGTTGGCAGAGTAGTGTCTCTGCTTTTTAAGGTGCTGTCTAGTCATAGACTTTTTAATGACAACTTTTAATGATAATGATGACAGTTTTTAATATGCTGTCTTGGGCATAACTTTCCTTCCAAGGAGTAAGCATCCTTTCATTGCTGCAGTCACCATCTGCAGTAATTTTGGAGCCCAGAAAAATAAAGTCAGCCACTGTTTCCATTGTTTCCCCATCTATCTGCCATGAAGTGATGGGGCCAGATGCCATGATCTTAGTTTTCTGAATGTTGAGCTTTAAGCCAACTTTTTCACTCTCCTCTTTCCATCATGAGAAATGCTGGACTGGATGAAGCACAAGCTGGAATCAAGATGGCCAGGAGAAATATTAGTAACCTCGTATATGGTAGTTGACACTATCCATGTGGCAGAAAGCGAAGCAGAACTAAAGAGCCTCTTGATGAAGATGAAAGAGGAGAGTGAAAAAGCTGGCTTAAAGCTCAACATTCAGAAAATTAAGATCATGGCATCTGATCCCATTACTTCATGGCAAATAGATGGGGAAACAGTGGAAACAGTGACAGACTTTCTTTTCTTGGGGAACAAAATCACTGCAGATGGCGACTGCAGCCATGAAATTAAAAGATGCTTGCTCCTTGGAAGAAAAGCTATGACTAACCTAGACAGCATATTAAAAAGCAGAGACATTACTTTGCCAACAAAGGTCCATATAGTCACGTATGGATGTGAGTTGGACCATTAAGAACTCTGAGCACTGAAGAATTGATACTTTTGAACTGTGGTGCTGGAGAAGACTCTTGAGAGTCCCTTGGACTGCAAGGAGACCAAACAAGTCAGTCCTAAGGGAAATCAGTCCTGACTATTCATTGGAAGGACTGATGCTGAAGCTGAAACTCCAGCACTTTGGCCACCTGATAGGAAGAACTAACTCCTTGGAATAGACCTGATGCTGGGAAAGATTGAAGACAGAAGGAGAAGGGGGTGACAGAAGATGAGATGGTTGTATGGCATCACTGACATGAGTTTGAGCAAGCTCTGGTATATGGTGAAGGACAGGGAGGCCTGGTGTGCTGCAGTACATGGGGTTGCAACGAGTCAGACACAACGGAGCGACTAAACAGCAAAGTTTTTACCTAATGTTCTTTCTGTGTCCCAGGGTCCCATCCAGAATCCCACATTGATTCTTAGGGTCATGTCTCCGGAGGCTCCTCTGGGACCGGGCAGTTTGTCAGACGCTCCCTGTTTTTGATGAACTTAGCAGCTTGAGGAGCGCTGGGCAGGTGCTGCTCAGGAGTGCCAGGCAGGTGAGACATGTCTCTGTTGGATTTGTGTGAGATTTTTGTGCTGAGATGAGGCTAAAGGAAGGGGGTGACAGAGGATGAGATGGTTGGATGGCATCACCGACTCAATGGACATGAGTTTGAGTGAACTCCGGGAGTTGGTGATGGACAGGGAGGCCTGGCGTGCTGCAGTCTGTGGAGTTGCAAATATTCGGACACGACTGAGCGACTGAACTGAACTGAGATGGGGCTGTGAGAGGAAAACCAGAGACAAGTGTGCTTCTCATCACGTCCTCCCTGGAGTATGGTCCATACTTGGGGACCATATGGTCCACACGTGACTGACGCTGCTGATGGCAACCTTGGTCACCTGGCTGAGGTCTGTCAGATGCCTGCACAGTCCGGTCACTATTTCCCCTGGTCAGGGTCCTCTGGGAGGAAGCCATCTGCATGAGCCACATGTAAGGGGCATCGTTAAGGAAAGTATTGGAGTTCTTCTACAAGGAGGTTTGGGGAGATTTGTCTCTTTTCTCCATTTATTTTTTTTTCCAATAACATATTTATGTTGGTGTGGACTCGGGTATTTAGCAGGCAGTGTGATTTAAGATTGAGCAAGGCTGGAGGTCTATACATGGTTTTCATTATATGAACCACTGTTCTTGTCTGAAATGTTTCAAGTGAAGTGAATGGGAGGTGAGTGTAGGGCTGATGTCCCAGGGCTGAACCAGGCTGGTGGACAGTCACTTCCCCATGTGCCCCCTCGGCAAGGATGACTGTACCCACCCCTTCTCCCTGGCCCCGCCCCTTGTGTGTGCTCACGGCCAAGGCAACCGGGGTGCAAGCCCACCATCCCTTAGCATCCAAAACCGGCTGTTTGCAGGGTCCTCGCTCAGCTGACACAGACCTAGTCCGGGCCCCGCTGGTCCAGGCCGCCTCCCTTCCAGGTACCCTGACTGGGCACTCGCCCTGCCCCACGCTGGCCTGCGTGGAGGCTGTGGAGGACCGTGTGGCCTGGCAAAGCCCTGGGCTTTACCTCGTTCCTCATGCGATCTTCGGTCAGGTCTGTGATTTGTGCCCCAGGTGGAACCTCCGCCGGGTTTGGGCCACATGGCATCCTGAGTGAGGCGCGTCTGCAGGGGCCCAGCCCCTCTGCTGAACCTCCCCCCTCGCTTGGATGGCTGCCCGCCTGTGCTGGAGGATGTGGATTCATTATCTTGTCTGTCTTGCGGGACGGTGTTAGCTTGGCAGTTAATAAAGGATTTTAATTAAAGAGGGAAGAATCATTTTGGCAAACTAGCCTCGTTCACAAACTCAAATGACCCGTCAAAGTTATAAGTTGGGTTCATTTCCATCTGAGCCTCTGCTGTTTGGGGGGAGTTCAGCACAGAGCCTGGGGGTGATGTGGGCACCTGGGGGAGCCTGACCCTGTCTCCTTCCCCCGAAGCCCAGGCAGCCATGCCATCCTTGTTGCTCCAGGCCGCCCCAGCCTGCGGCCCCCGGCCCCCAACAGGCCCCCCGCATCCACATCCGCTCATGCCTTAAGGGGTCCAGCCTCCCTGTAGCCTTTCCTCCGAGTACTGGCTGGCGGGGCTTTGACAAAACTGGAGATGACTGTAGGCTCATGAGCAAGGGTGACCGAGGAGTCCTGGCTGTGCTCACACCGTGCCCGCGCAGGGTCAGTGACGGCGGGCTGGCCGCAGTGACTCCGCCCACTGACCTCCATCAGGTCTTACCCGTCTGGGTGCCCTGCTGTGTGCTTGCGTGTATGTACTCTTGGGGGTCCCTGTGCGTGCATGTGTGTGTGTAGGCACGTGCACGCGCCTAGTTCTCTGCCTTTTACTGCACGTGTGGACTCATGCGCCCACGTCCACTGTCAGGACACAGAACAGCCTGGTCCCCGCAGGGCTCCCTGCCGCTGGCCTTGTGTGCCCAGGGCCACCTCTCCTGCCCCCCTCACCTGGCCAGTGAGGCCCCTTCTAAGCAGATCACTGCCCTCCCCAGCTCTCGCCTTCCTCTCCTGACGACCCTCCTCGGGCGCTCGGTGATGGTGAGAGTAGCGGCCCTTGGCTCTGCGCTGCCTGGGGTGTTGGGCTCTCGCTGGCCTGACTTCCTCACCCCTCCTCCCCTGCTGCCCGCAGGAGGGGACAGGAACGAGCCCGGGTCCGGGTCAGCTGCCCCCCACACCTTGATGCCTTTGCCTGAGCACCCACTCCCTTTCTCCCGAGCTCTGGCTCCACTGAGGCACGAGGCATGTCCTGCTTGTCTGCGTCCAGCGTCCATGCGGGTCCCTTGGCCACTTCGGGAACTAGCGCAGCGGCTGAAGGCCCACCTGTCGTAAGTGTGGGTCTGGACCCTGACCACGCAGAGGGCCGGGGAGCCCCGGAGGCCCCGGGCAGTGGCAATGGGAACTTCAACTCTGCTCAACTAGACGGGCCTGGGAGGCGAGGCAGGGGACGCCATGCCAGGGAGGCTGGCCTCAAGCAGGCCGTGGCGGGAATCCAGGTGTGGGCGGCTGGATGCGGCTTGGACAATGCGATGGAGGTGGTAAAGGCCACACTCAGGTGTGAGCCCAGGTCAGACAAGATCCCACGGGGCCCTCCTCCCAGCCCCTCGGTGCCGGGGGAGGGGTTGTGCATCAGTGTGGGGCCTTGCAGGCCCACTCCTTGCTGGGCAGGCGGGTCAGAGGACGGGAGGAGGGCGGCTCCCTCCCGGTGTGATTCTCGGCAGCCTGAGTGTGGTCTCCTGGCCCGGAAGCCGCGCTGGGCCGGGCGGCCCTTCCCTGGTATCGGGGCAGGACTCTGGTTTCCAGGGCAGAGAGCCCAGCGTCTGACGAGACTCCTCCCTCCTGTGTGCAGCTGGGTTTTGATTGCGCTTTGGTGTAAATTGGGAGGTTGCTGGTATCACCTCCGGGCCAGCGCGCACCCCGCCCCTAGGCCACCCGCTCGGGGTCTCTGGTCCCTCTGGTCACCTTGGCCTCATCTGGTGGGGGGGCCTCACCCACATGGGGCAGGTGGGGTCGGCTGGGGGCTGCCCCCACGAGGCCCCTCCTTGTCCCCCGGCCAGCCTGTGCTTGTCCTGGCGGTGGTCACAGGGCCGCGACAGCGCGCAGGCGTCTAGTGCCTCCGGAGCCCCGGCGGGAGCTGTGCCCTGTCCTCCCCTCCGCAGCTGCGGAGCCGGCCCGGGGGCGGAGGGAACCTGTCTTCTCAGTGGGCCCCGGGCGGGTCCACTCTGCTGACCGGGGCAGCTGAGCTTCCGGGGGGAGGGCACCCGGTGTCCCAGGCAGCGCCCAGGGAGATAGGCTGGTGCGTAGGCTGGTGCGTACGCGGGTGCACGTGTGTGGGTGTGGGGGTGCGTTTGCCCACGGGCGTGTCCACACACGCGTGTACGCGTGCAGCTGGGTAGGAAGACGCAGCCCGTCTCCGAGCCATCTCATGGGTATTCCCGCCGCCGCCCCGGGCCGTCTTATGGGGCCGGCATCTGTGTCCAGACGCCGCCGGGCAGGAGGTGCCGGCCGGGGCGAGCGGCCCGTTAGAGTGCGGTCCAGCTGGGCCGCCCAGGGAGCCCGGGGGCTGCTCGCGCACGCCGCCTAGCGGCGGTGTTGCTGGGAGCGCGCTGGCGTGACCGTGCTCCGTGACCGATGCTCTGAGGATGTGTGGGCTCAGCGGCCGCAGGCGCTCCGAGCCCCAGCTTATCTGACTCGGCCAGGGCTGGCGTGCGGCCGGCCTGTTTTCCCTACTGGCGGCTCGGGGCGTGTGGGCCGTGCCTCCCTGGGCTCCGGGCAATGCTGACTGGGCTGCCCCTTCCCAGTGGAGGGGGCCTGTGGCCCTGAGGTTGCGGGGAGGGCCCTGGCCCCCACGCTCCCCGCCCCACACCCTCTGTGTCGGTTGGAGTCAGTCGGATTTGCTGGAACTTTCTTCTCCCTGCCCGCGGAAGTCGTGGGAGCAGAGAGGATCTTTTATCAGGAAGTAAAAAGAGGGAAGCGATTTCTTCCAGTGCCTGTGGCTGAGACCCTCGCCACAGAACAGGGAAAGGGGTAGCCCTGCCCCCAGCTTCTCCACCAACCCCGCCTGGAGAGCGGCCTTCTCAGTGTCATGTGTCGTCCGCTGGCTCTGGCAGGGTGACTTGTGTGGCCACGTGGAGGAGCCCCTCCAGGTGGTTCGGGGGTCAGAGCAGGTTCAGGGGTCAGAGCAGGTGGCTCGCGGGGCAGGATGCTCTTGACCACAGAGGGCAGTGTCCCCGGGGGTGGGACACTCTCACAGCCTGGTGTGAGGGCTGCACTCTCTGTCCCGGAGGGGCTCTGTTGTCCCTGGGGACCTGGCCCTGAGCCACCGTTGTCATCATCACCTGGGCAGGAGGCGGGTGGAGAAGCCCCCGGGACCCTTCATGAGGGAAGCCCTGTCCTGGGTCCAGCAGGACATCAGACAACTCCCTGGACCTCAGCCAGATGGGAGACGAGGCCCCTGAGTCCACCTCTGGCCCTGGGGAAGGGGTCCCGTGGAGGCGGAGGCCAGTCCTAACTCAGCCCTGGGGGGCGGGGCTGCCTTCCTGGTCAGGCTCGGCCAGCTCGAGCTGGCCGGAAGGGAGGGGGAGCCGCTTAGAGGAGAGGGGCTCGGGTGTGACGGGGGCGAAGAGGAGACCAAGGCCCGGGAGAACGGCTGGCCCAGGGCTTCCGGGAGCTGGTGGCAGAGCTGGGTGGGCTGGCCACCCCGCCCCGCGCTGGGGGACAGTGTGGAGGTTGGGGGAGGGGATGGTTGGGTGCAGCCTGTCCACCTGGCTCGGTGGGGTGAGGATGAGCACGCCTGCCCTTGCAGCGTTCCCGTCTCCTTGAAGCAAGAGCTTTGTCTACGCCGGCGAAGAGCTGGAAAGGCGGCTGGATCATCGGGGTTTTGATGCGGGGGTGCTGTCCACGCCCGTCCTGCACCCTCAGCCACTTTCTCCAGCTACGTGCACAGGATCCGGGGAATCTGGGTTATCTGTGCACTTCAGGGCCTGTTTGTCTGCATGGAGAGTCTTACTCAAGCGTCTCACCCTCACGTGCCATAGGGCTCACGGGGTTCCGGTTTATGGGGCTTTTTCAAATGTGGAAGCCCCGAGAATAAACAGTCCTGCCCCCATCTGCCAGGCCGCCTCCAGGCCAGTCCCCTTGTGGCCCATTGCATGTCTGCCCGTGTGGTGTGAGACTCGCTTCTGTTTGAGCGGTTGTCTTACAGCCTTCTGCAGCCAGGCCGCTCAGCCCCAGAGGAGGCCACTGGCCCTGGCAAGGGGCAGAAGGGCCAGCCAGCGAGAGCCCAGCGCTAGCGCCCGCCGCTCATCCGCTGTGCCAGCCGGGGCCCCAGAGCCACGCTGTTCCCCCTGAAAGGACACCCGGAGATGAGCACCATCTTTCAGAATTAACTTCTCCCAGGGAACGTCAGAAGTCCCATAACTTCATTAGGAGCGATCGGAAAACTCCATTTGCTTTTATTAGCTTGAAAGCTGCTCTCAGGGCCGACGCGCGGAGCAGCCCCAGAGGACAGGGCGGCTCCCAGCACGGGAGGAGGAGAGCCCAGCCCAGTGTCAAGGTCCTGGCTGCGGTGACCTGCGTCCCGGCCTGTCGGGGGCCTCTGGCCTTGAGGCCACCTTGGAGGCCGAGGATCGCTTTCGGGCTTGTCAGACCCGCGTGCCTATGTGCAATGGAATATTATTTAGCATTAAACGGAAGGCAGTTCTGGCACCTGCTATCACGTGGGTGAACTTTGAGGACATCCTGCTCAGTGAAGTAAGCCGGACACAAGAGGATAAGCAGCAGGTGATTCCTTTTCTGTGAAGTATTGGAAATAATCGCATTGGTAGAGACAGGAAGTAGATGGTGGGTGCTGGGAATGGTAAGTTAGTGTGGTTTTTTTGGGTAAGATTTTTTTTTTTCTTTTTTGGATGTGGACAATTTCTAAAGTCTTTATTGAATTGGTTACAATATTGTTTCTGGTTTTTTTTTTTTTTTTTGTGTGTGTGTGTGTGTGTGTTTTGGCTGCGAGGCATGTGGGATCTTTGCTCCCCTGAAAGTTCTGGAGATGGGCGGTGGTGATGTCATCGAGTCCAAGCATATAGTCCTCACCGCATGACAGGCCAGTTGATCGAAGATGATGTTATCGGGGCAGTGGAGAGTGGCTTTATTCAGAGGCCTGCAGACCGAGAAGGTGGCAGACTAGCGTCCCAAGAACCATCTTCGCCAGGTCAGAATTCAGGCTTTTATACTCAGAGGGGATGGAGTGAAGGTCTGGTTTAGCTGGACTCTGGAGGGAATGTTAATTTCTTCCTTCCTGCAGCCTTCACAGGGTGGATCTGGTCAGAATGTTTCCTACGAGCCAAGCAAAGGTGTTTTAGCTTAATGCTCATTACCTGGGACGTAGGACTACCAGAGATGGTCCATTATGTGTAATTTAAGCTTGTAGGTGATATCCCTCTAGTGATGAACTTGAAATAGGACATGAAGGTCCTTCCCTGTCTTAGTGACAGTTACACAGCTGTGAGAATGTATTTCATACTGAACTGTGCACTTAAAGATGATCCATTTTATGTTCTGGGTGTTTCCCCATGATTTAAAGGATAGGAAATAATGTACTCTCTTCAGCCTGGATCCCTTGAGCTCCCAGTAAACCTGGAAATGTATTAGCATATGTGATAAACCAGCCTTAGGACTCGGACCCAGCTGCAGTGAGGGCATGGAGAGCTTTCACTGCAGATGTCCAGGCTGCCTGGGCCGTGAGCCTGGGCACGTCACTGGCCCGTGAGCCTCCGACCTCCTCCTGGGATGGGTCAGCCCCGCCAATACCTTAGCAGACTCGAAATCTGCATCAGACGCGCCTTTTCTTCTCAGTCCCCAAATTCTCAGGTGACGTTGCTGTAACCAGGGTGACCACATGTCCCAGCCTGGCTGGCCCATCCCAGTTCAGCCTGCGGAGAGCTTAGGTGAGCCTCTGGCCGTCCTCCTGGCGCGGGTGACGTCGTAGGGCCATCCTAACAGGAGATGCCCCAGTGCCCTGGCTCCTCTTGGGCTGTCAAGGTTTACATCCTGGCTGCTGGGAGACTGCGGCCAGTTCAGCCCTCTCCCAGAAGTGCCCTCTGCCCGCCCGACCTGGGGACCCTCCTAGCTGAGCCGGAGAGGTTGTGAAACCAGCTCCAGGAAGTCAGCGGAGACCTGATGCCCCCAGCGAGCTGGCGGTGTCCCTCTGAAGGCACGCGGAGTGCCGGGGAGCAGGCAGGCCCCGTGATGAGGACGGGTTAGTCCTGTCTGAGCCGGGGACGTGCGTTCCGATGCTAGAGTGGGGGCTTGGACACGAGCACTCAGGCTGCGACCCAGGAGGGCACTGGGTCAGCCAGGATGAGTTAGCACTGGCTGGTGAGGGAGATGGCGGACCTGAGGGGGTGCGGGGGCCTGAGCAGTGAGAGGGCCTGAGGGGGTGAGGGGGACCCTAGGGAGGTGAGGGAGGACCCAAGGGAGGTGAGGGGGACCCTATGGAGGCGAGGGGGGACCTGAGGAGGTGAGGGAGGTCAGTGAAGCGCTGACAGGTTCAGCTTGGCCACTTCCTGCTCCCAAATCTTTTGATTTATTGATTAAATCCTGGTAACAGGCACACAATCTGAACTGTATCCTCTTAGCTGTTTCCAGTGTACAGTGCCGTGATGTTAAGTGCATGATTCTGTTCTGCACTCTTTACCCCAAATCTCCAAGGTCCCGAGGTCCTGCAGGAGCCCCCAGGCCTCGGTTTTCATAACTCTCTGTCCCATTTCGCTGGTGGCTTTGCGGGTCCTTGATGGTCGGGGAGAAAGCCGCAGCCTCCTCCTGGCTTCTCCACGTCTCCACGGTAACCTCCTGCCGTTGAGACCCACAGTGACCATTCGCTCGTAGGCCTTAATCGGTTTTTAACACATGAGAGAATCTTACCGTGACCCTCCCCCAGGAACGCTTAGCTTTTTAGAGAGCTCCCAGGAAGTCAGAATAATTCCCACTGGTTGTTTTTAACGCTCTTGTTACAGGAGTCGCACAAGCAATAGTCAGCAGTTGGATGTAGTTTTTCTCCTTGAAGCCCTGGGGCTGTGTCAGCCCTGGAGAGCCCTGCCTGTCCGCCGCCCCCTCCCTCCCTTCCACTCCCCCCTTCGCCCCTCTCCCTTCCCTCCCCGTCTCGGGGCTCGGGGATTGCAGATGTGAGGCTAATACACATGGCTCTTCACATGCCGCCCTGTGTCTGGTGCCCGATGCCCTGAGCAGCAGAGGCTATGAAACGCTGGCTGTGGTCCGAGCGTTAGCTGGTGGTGCCCACCACGAGGCCCGGGGCAGACTGTGCTTTGGTGGCAGCTCTCAGCTGCTGCCTGGCTCGGGCCTGCCAGACGGGCTCAGGGTTGGCGTCTGGTAGAGGCTGTCTGTCCAGCCACAGAGGCCAGAAGCCCAGCATCCTTGGCGGGGCCTGGGGTTCAGGTGGTTTTCTGGACCATCGCCTCATTCATGAAAGCAGGTCCTCCAGGCCTCTGGCCACAGTAGGTGATGACCAGGGCCGGAGACATCCTCACTGTCATGGGCACAGTCTGTTGGCAGCCTTGGGCTCCCAACCATGTCCTGTGTGCCTGTGGACCCCTGACCTGGCCTGCGTGGGGTCCTGCCCCAGTCTGCCCTCGGATGAAGAAGCTCTGGTGCAGGGCTTCTGGCTGCCTGTCTTTCTGACCTTGGCTCCAAAACCCGTGGAAACTCTTATGTTACAAGTTCTGTAAATACTGTTATTTCATGTTGAGAATGCTCGCCAGGAGACTTAACCAGAATCTTGAAGGTCACAAAGGGTCTGTGAAGCCAGCATGGAAAGACACTTGTGATGAACACAAACTCCTGGGCATTTTTCTGTTTCTTTTGGGTTTTCATTATTCAACAGGCAATGAGATTTATCTCATACTTTTGTTCTCGTTTTCCTCTAAAGATAATTATGTATGATACACTCGGGTGTGCTGAGTTCCCCTTTCTGTGTTCCCTGACTTTGAGATGTGAAGGTGTTATAAATTGTGCAATAAAAAGCTGATTCTGTAGCGAATGAAGCAGAAAGACTCTCTTTCTAATTGTATCTGTTAATCTCTTACACGTCTTCATTAGGGGTTTTAGTATATTGAAGAGATGCATCAAAGTTGGCATTAAGGAAGCGTCTTCATCAATATGGGTTGGTACATTTTCTGTGTCGGCGGTCAAGGGTAGGGGTGCATCCAGGACAGGGCTCCAGTCTGCACGCAGTCCCTTCCACACTCTCGGCTGAGATGAGCTTTCGCTTCTCGGGGTGCCTGGACCAGGGGCTCAGAGCCAAGCGCTCATGTGCGCGTATCCTCCCAGTATGACCGAGCGCTCACCCTGACTCTGTTCTGCAGGCGGGCAGCAGGTTCAGAGAGGTAAGGAGAGGCGCAGAGTGGCCTCCCTGAGCCCGGGGGGTACCTGCCCCAGAACAGTCAGGAAGCGGGGGGTCTGTGAGTCGTGTGTTAGTCCTGCTTTCCCTCTGGGGACTCACGGTCCACGGCTGCCTCTGGTCCCCCAGCTGGTCAGTGGAGGGGCCTGCTCCGCACCAGGCCCTCTTCTGGCAGGTCTCTCCAGCACCATGGACAGAGGCGGGGTGAGGCTGCCCGCAGTGGGCATGGGAAAGGACCAGGACCAAGAATGGAAGACCTACCTGCTGCTAAATGTAGCCGTTTGGTTTCAGGATCTGAGAGTGAGGAATTAGGAGAACTTTTAAGGAAAAAACACTTAAGTAACAGTTTATGGGTCTAGTCAAGGAAAGAATGACGGGAATTTATTTTCCTAAGGAGCCAGGTATTTAATCAGCGGCTGATAAACAGGCTCGAGGCTGACTCAAAATTTTGAGGAGCTGTATTTTCCTCCCGCCTCTGCCGTGGTGAGAGGCTTAGCTCATGGCTTAGCTCATTCCGTCTTTCTCATTATTTGCATTCTGTTAATTAACTCAGCCAGCCAGATGTGACATTTATAAAAGGCATCGGGAACGTTCTGTGCAGAAGCCATGCTTACCTGTGACGGCGTTCTGCTGCAAGCAGGGGCTGGCATTTTCATGGAGAGGCGTCATGAACAGGCCACGCGCTTGCCCCCGCCCGGCAGGGGTCTGAGTCTGGTGGGCGGAAGCTGGTGTCCAGGCAGGGGCTCCCCCCTCTTGCATCAGGGTGGGCAGTGCTGATGTGACATGTTTGTCATCAAGAGGAGGCTTCTGGAGGGAGCGTCCTTGGGCCGGGGATATTCCGGAGTAACTTAATGGCCAGCACAGATGGTGTGTGCTTGGCCTGCCCTTGTGCAGCTGGACCACTTTGGAACTGGGTGGGTGGGTTGAGTCCTGATA